AAGGCTATGGTTTTTTCAGTGGTCATGTATGGATGTGAGAGTTGGACTGTGAAGAAAGCTGAGTGCCGAAAAATTGATGCTTTTGAACTGTGGTGTTGGAGAAGACTCTTGAGAGTTCCTTGGACTACAAGGAGCTCCAACCAGTCCATCCTAAAGCAGATCAGTCCTGGGTGTTCATTGGAAGGATTGATGCTGAAGCTGAAACTCCAGTATTTTGGCCACCTCATGCGAAGAGTTGACTCATTGGAAAAGACCCTGATGCTAAGAGGGATTGGGGCAGGAGGAGAAGCAGACGACAGAGGATGAGATGGCTGGATGGCATCACCGACTCGATGGGAATGAATTTGAGTAAACCTCGGGAGCTGGTGATGGACAGGGAGGCCTGGCATGCTGCAGTCCATGGGGTTGCAAAGAGTTGGATACGACTGAGCAACTGAACTGAACTGAACTGAACTGTGCAGAGTGGAGGAAAGACTTGATGCCTCCGTGTTGTGGGGTCCAGCCCCATGCCTGTCACCTGCCAGCCTTGGTCCCTCCACCGAGGAAATAGGATGAAAATTCCTACCTTGCTGGTAGTGGAATGGGGGCCGTGGGGTACAGGTGATGAGGACGATATGGCCACAGAACTGGAAAAGGTCAGATTTCATTTCAATCCCAAAGAAAGGCAATGCTAAAGAATGCTCAAACTACTACACAATTGCACTCATTTCACACACTAGCAAAGTAATGCTCAAATCCGTCAAGCTAGGCTTCAACAGTATGTGAACTGAGAACCTCCAGATATTCAAGCTGGATTGAAAAGGCAGACAAACCAAAGATCAAATTGCCAATATCCATTGGGTCATAGAAAAAGCAAGGGAATTCCAGAAAAACATCTGCTGCTTCATTGACTATGCTAAAGCCATTGATTATGCTAAAGCCATTGATTGTATGAATCACAACAAACTGTGGAAAATTCTTGGAGAGATGGGAATACCAGACCTCCTTACCTGCCTCCTGAGAAACCTGTATGCAGGTCAAGAAGCACCAGATAGAACTGGACATGGAAAAACAGACTGGTTCCAAAATGAGAAAGGAGTATGTCAGGGCTGTATATTGTCACCCGGTTTATTTAACTTCTGTGCAGAGTACATCATGCAAAATGCCTGACTGGATGAGTCACCAGCTGGAATCAAGATTGCTGGGAGAAATATCAGCAACCTCAGATATGCAGATGATACCACTCTAGTGGCAGAAAGCAAAGAGGAACTAAAGAGCCTCTTGATGAAGGTGAAAGAGGAGAGTGAACAAGCTGGCTTAAAACTCAACATTCAGAAAACTAAGATCATGGCATCTGGTCCCATCACTTCATGGCAAATAGAAGGGGAAAAAGTAGAAACAGTGACAGATTTTATATTCTTGGGCTCCAAAATCACTGCAGATGGTGACTGAAGCCATGAAATTAAAAGATGCTTGCTTCTTGGAAGAAGAGTTATAACAAACCTAGACAGCATATTAAAAAGCAGAGACAATACTTTGCCAATAAAGATCAATTTAGTCAAAGCTATGGTTTTTCCAGTAGTCATGTATGTATGTGAGAGTTGGACCATAAAGAAGGCTGAGCGCTGAAGAATTGATGCTTTTGAACTGTGGTGTTGGAGAAGACTCTTGAGAGTCCCTTGGACAACAAGGAAATCAAACCAGTCAATCCTAAGGGAAATCATTGGAAGCACTGATGATGAAGCTGAAGCTCCAGTACTTTGGCCTCCTGCTACAAAGAGCCAACTCATTGGAAAATACTCTGATGCTGGGGAAGATTGGAGGCAGGAGGAGAAGGGGACGACAGAGGATGAGATGATTGAATGCCATCATCGACTCAGTGAACATGAATTTGAGCAAGTTCCGGGAGCTGGTGAAGGACAAGGAAGCCTGGCGTGCTGCAGTCCATGGGGTCACAAAGAGTCGGACATGACTTAGTGACTGAACAACAATAACTAAGCAGATAAACCAAACACAAAGCAACAAATATTACATGATTCCACTCATATGAGGTCTTGAGTAGTAAAACCCGTAGTGATAGAAAGTAGGATGGGTACGAGGTCTGGGGGTGGGGTGGGGAGTTAGTGTTAGAAGGATGGGTACGAGGTCTGGGGGTGGGGTGGGGGGTTAGTGTTAGAAGAATGGGTACGAGGTCTGGGGGTAGGGTGGGGGGTTAGTGTTAGAAGGATGGGTACGAGGTCTGGGGGTGGGGTGGGGAGTTCGTGTTAGAAGGATGGGTACCAGGGCTGGGGGAGGGGGTGGGGAATTAGTGTTGGAAGGATGGGTACCAGGGCTGGGGGAGGGGGTGGAGAGTTAGTGTTAATGGGAGCAGGGTTCAGTCTGGGAGGATGAAAAACTTCTGGAGATGGTGGTGGTGATACTTGCACAATGTGAATGGACTTAATGCCATTGAATTGTGCACTTAAAAGTGGTGAAAATGGTAAACTTTCTGTGTATATAATTTACCACAATTTGTTTTTCTGGAGAAGGCAATGGCAGCCCACTCCAGTATTCTTGCCTGGAAAATCCCATGAACAGAGGAGCCTGGTGGGCTACAGTCCATGGAGTTGCAAAGAGTTGGACATGACTGAGCATGCATACACACATAATTTACTACAATTTTTTAAGTAAAAATCTTTTTAAAAAACAAAGAAGACTAAATCAATGAGCTAAACACACATCTCAAAAATTGAGAAGAACAACAATCCAAAGAACTGAAAAGCAAAGGAAAAATAAATACATAAATCAATGAAACAGAAGACAAATGCCATAAAGAAGACCCACAGCCACCAGTATCAGCAATGAAAACAGTGTCGATCGGGGGTGACTGACTCATCCGGGCCTGTCAGGGACTTACTTGAACTTCACCCCAAAGTCCTGGGTCCCCGGGGATTCCTGGGTCTCAAATCCTCAGCACTGGGGGCGCGGAAGGTTGCCCTGCCTCAGAATCTCAGGCTTCAGAAAGACAGTGAGAGGACGTTAGGGACAACTTGGGGCAGCAAATTTGAAAATTGACATATAATGGACAAGTTCTTAGAAAGACACCACTACTCAAAATGTAACCCAAAAGAAAGAGTCTGAACCTTCCTGAAACTTCTGACGGAATTGGGTCTAGAGTAACCGACCTTCCTGCCCGGGGCTCCTCTGCCCGTTGGCCTGCTCTGGTCCAGACCCTCAGAGAGTCCAGCTCTAGGTGTGGGTGGAGGGGGCTGGAAGGGGCTCAGGGAGAAGCTGGCTGCAGCGGGTGGGGTGTCAGGGGCTCCGGGGGCGGGGGAGCACCTTAAAGTCTTGTCCCACGTGAGCCCCGGTCCCCAGGCGGCGCCTTGCCTGGGCCCTTCAGTTTCTGTCTGCAGCCGGAGGGCTGGAGGGGCCGTCTCTCCTGCCATCTGTCTGGACGGTCTATCTGGGCACCTTTGGCGCCGGCCCGCCCGTCTGCTCGCCCAGGAGTAATTGCCCTGAGATTTCAATCACTGTCAGGCAGATGACAGGTGCTGGCGGGTAGGCCGCACACTCCTGCCAGAGCTCCTCACGGCTTTCAGATGACAGCTTCCCGTGGGCAGCGGGAGCGGGGGCAGCCTTGTGTGCCACGCACCGCTGCCCACTGCTGGACGTGAGCACCAGACTGTAGCGACAGCGACTTCAAGTCTCCAGCTCTCCTTCCCTGGAATCCCAAGCAGTGACAGATTGCCCCTCCCAGGGCGGCGCTGCCTGCCTGGGGCAGAGGGGTGTGAGCCGCCCTCCCTCCCCTGGCCCCGCCCTAGCCTGGCCGGCCGGCGCTCACCTCTGGCTGGCCTCACGGGAGCCAGACAGACAGTGCCACCCAGGGCCACCGTGCTTACCTTGTGCATCACCTGATTCAAACATCCTGCCGTTGTCCCTGCCCGTCCCGAATCTGCACATATGACCCCACCGTGTGATCTAATCCCAGCACAGTCGTGGGCACTGACTCTTCCCTGGGGACCCGTCTGCTTGTCTGGGGCCGTGTCACCCCCTACAGCATAGTTCTGAGCTTCTAATCACTGGGTTAATAAACGGCTCTGAGTCAGCTGATTCCCAGGGGTTCACTGGGATCCCCGGGGGGTGAAGCAGGGTGGGGTGGGCCGGCTGTGGCGGCTGGAGCCAGGTGATGGCGGGGGTCGGGGTGCGGGGTGGGACGGCAGGGCTGGGCACCGGGCTGCAAGTCAGGAGTGAAGGGGGCATGTCGGGGGTGATGCCCTGTTGCTGTGGTTTTTGTCACCCAGGTGGGGGCCATAAAGGAAGACAGAACCAGGACTTCTGGGCCTCACGGAACAGACCCTGGGACGGGCCACACCCACCGCTGGGCCCACAGCTCTCCACACATTTTGCCACCAAGGCAGGAGTGAGCCGGACTGTTGGGGTGGGAGGGTCCTCCATCTCCCCCATCCCCAGTGTGCAAGCAGCAGGCCTGGGGCACAGAGAGGGGGGCTGGCTGCCCGAGTTCACACAGCACAGATCGGGGGGCTGGGCCTGGGTGGAGGTCCCCAGCCTCCAGTTTAGACTCTCCCCAGGCTCTGTCCTATTGGAGTCTGCACATGCATGCACTTGTGTGTGCTCGTGTGTCTGTGTGTGTGCACCTGTGTGTGCTCATATGTCTGTGTGTGCACCTGTGTGTGTGCTTGTGTGTCTGTGTATGTGCACCTGTGTGTGTGTGTTCTCCTCTGTGTGTGTGCTCATGTGTCTGTGTTTGTGTGCACCTGTGTGTGTACCTGTGTGTGTGCTCGTGTGTCTGTGTGGACACCTGTGTGTGTGCTCGTGTGTCTGTGTGGACACCTGTGTGTGCGTGTTCTCCTCTGTGTGTGTGTGCACGCACTCACTCCCTGTTCCTGCTGACCACGTGAGCACGTGAAAAGTACCCCTTGCAGCCGGGGAGGTGGGGTCTTTCTGTCCAGGGTCCCTTCCCTCCCAAGGGGCCTTCAGCCCCCACTCCCAGGAGGGTGCTGGAGGGTGGCCACAGCACTGACCTTGATCACCGTGTCCAGCCCCAGCTGGGACCGCTCAGCAGAGTCCCCGTTGCCCGGCTCGCTGGAGGTGGAACTCATCACGGGCTGGTGCACAGGACTCTAGAGAAAGCAGGGGCTCTTTGGCCCGAGACCCTCCACCTGGGACCCTGGCTGGGCTGGGACCTGCGTCCGAGCACTAGCCCCACACCCGGGCAGCACCTGGCTCCTCTGTCCTGGACGCCCAGCTGCCCCTCTGAGTTGGCAGGACAGTGTGGCTGACTGAACCCATAGGCGTTGCTGTGGCAACTGCGACGCTGAGGGCTTGGTTTCCCTGGAAACAAGAGGGCGGCTCTGTTGCCATGGGGACCAAGGAACGCTGTTGTCCGGAAGCCGATTCCCTGGAGACCTGGAGACGCCCTGGGTGAAGCTGTCTGAGTGACCACATGGGGGAGGGGCTGGCCTCTCCCCCAGACCCCCACCCATGCAGGGAAGGGCCCTAGCCCTCCGCTGGGCAGTTGCCCGGGAGGAGTTGTGTGCTTGGGGGCCACACACAAGGAGGGGGGAGGCGTGCAGACCCCCGGTCCCTCCTGACTGAGGATCATAAACCATGACATTGTCCAAGCATTTGCAAGGGGACTCGAGTTCAGTGGTGTGATGCCTGTAGTGGGTGGGCGGACAGCCTGCAGGGGCCCCGGCCAGCCCTTGGGTGTGCCCTCTGGAGGCTGAGTCCCCTGGAGCCGCTTCAGGGGGACCTGCCCCGGGGTCGTGCATTTCCAACTTGCCACAGGCCGTCCACCTCTCCCTCCCCCGAAGCTTCCTGGGACCACACGAGCACAGGCAGCCACTGACCCATCAGGAGTGGTGATGGGTGGGGTGAGGTGAAGAGAGGGGCGCTCAGGCCTGCCTCTGCCCCCAGGGAGGGGGTTCGGGGGCTTGGAGGGTGTGAGCCTGCCCTCCGGGGAGGGTTCCTACCTGGGGGCTCAACCCGGGGTGCTCGGGCAGGGGGAGGACGGGGGCTGCAGAAGTTGGTGTGAACGTCAGTGCAGACCACTCGGACGAGTCCAGACCAGACGTCATGGTCAGAAAGGAGTCCAGCCGGTGAGCCTGGGTGGGTGGGGCTCTTCCTGCCCGTGCCGCTCCTGCCCGACACCCACCCCGGCCTGTTCTGCCCCCTTGAAGACTCGTGGCAGAGCAGAGCACCCAGGGGTCTGCGGTCCTCACCCTGCCCAGCGTCCTCTCCTCGGAGGCTCAAGGCTCCGTCCCCTCAAGGCTCACAGGGCCCTGTGGCCACCACCCAGGGCTTCCCTGCCTGGCGTCCATGCTGCGGCTTCTACCCCAGGCCATTAGTGGGCCAGCAGGGCCCTCGGGACAGGGCTCAGCCCGGGACCTGGGCACGGCCCTCAGGCAATGCTCTGGACCGAGTGAGGGTGTCAGGGAGGAGCTCACCTCGTGGGCCCTGTGGGATGGGCTGGGGACAGCATTGGGTTGGGGAGGACCGCGGCCGTCCTGACTCCCACCCTCGGACCCTGCACCTCCCCCGGGTGCTTAGAGGGAGTCCCTGGGCAGTGAGGGCAGCGCTGTGGCCCTGACCACCTGCCCTGGCCCAGCCCGCAGCCTCCCTGGCCCTGTGCACTGCTCCCCCGTGGAAGCAGGCACCTCACCCCGTTCTTGTCCTGCACTGCGTCTACAGTCACCCGCAGACTCCCCGGGGACAGTGCAGACTCCCCGTGGGCCTGGCTATGCTGGGCCCACGTGTGGACGGGGACCACAGGGGCTGGGTGACGGCTGGGGAAGTGGAGGCAGAACTGGTTGGCCTTGCCTGGCCCCAGGGACCCCAGAATTTGCCACCCTTGACCTAGACCCTCCCCGAGAGGAAGGGACCCCAAACTCCCAGCAAAGCGCTGACTTCCTTGGCTTGGGCCACTCAGGCCCCCAGGCAGCTGTGCAGACGGCGGGGGGCGGGCCGGCCGTGGATGCGACGCCTGGCCCTGACGTGTCCTCTGAAGGAGAGTCACATGCAGCCCCGGGGAGCGGGGGAGTCCCTGTCCTACCCTTGCAGCCTCCAGGCCAGCCCCGCTGTGATCGGCTGGGATCTGACTGGCGGGGCTCCTCCGTGACCCCGTCCCCGGGCCCTGGGCCTCCTCACACCCCCGGCAGGCGAGTGCTGGACGGCCAGGGACTGCTCACGACAGGAGTGGCTCCCCTGGCGGCTGGGACTCCGCTGACCCCGGTCTGCGGCCTCTGGGGGTGTGTCCCCTGCAGGTGCTGGACAGAAGCTGGCCTGCGAGCCCTGCTGTGGCAGCAAAACACAGCCAGTCCTGGACGCTGGGGCGCAGGCTGGGGCACCGGCCGGGACCGCTGACCCTCCCACTGCCCAGCGGCTCCAGCTACTCAAAGTCGGCGCCTCTGGCCAGCCCGGGCCTCTGTCCATGCTTGAGGCTGTGTGTGACACTCTCCGGGATTGGGGTGCTGCTGGGAGGCTCATGCTTAGGGACACTGCCTGCCAGCCTCTTGGGGTCCTCCGAGTGTGCCCTGGTGCGCCGTGGGAGTCGGGCCTCAACCCCTCCCGTCTCTGTGCAGCTCGGGGGCCTCCCATGACACCCAGGCCACTGCCCAGAGACCGTAGGGGACCACCAGCCCTGGTTTTCCAGGGGGTTTCCAGGGGGAGGTCCCAAGAGGCCTCAGGAGCAGAGCCCAGCTGTGTTCGTCCACTCAGAGGGCTGCCTGAGGGCACTGCTATGGGCAGGTTCGGGGGCTGGTCTTGGGGAAGGGGAGTAGGAGTGACTTGTGGACCCCGCCTTCCGACACCCGCTCTCATGGGGCGGGAGCAAGGAAATGCGATCGTCAGTTTTCTGCTACCTCTTGGTCACAACAAAAACATACTGAAAAGAAAAACAAGAACAACCCCTATCTGCCTGCAGACCTGGAAGCAAATTCTTCCCCCGCCCCCCGCCAGCCGGCACCTTCAGAAGAGAGCTGGTCGACTCTTGGGCCGGGCTGTGCAGTTGACGCGGTGTCCTAGGGGAGGGTTTGGAGGAGGAAGTGGCCACCCGCTCCAGCAACTCTTGCTTGGAGAATCCCACGGGCGGAGAAGCCTGGCGGGCCACAGTCCATGCGGTCGCCAAGAGTCGGACAGGACTGAGCGAATGGCCCTGGGCTGACTGACCGGCCTGGACGGGAGCTGAGCTGCCCTGGGCTGCCCTGACGGCGGTGCTCCGCTCCTTGGGCCTGAGAGGGCGTCTGCCGGGGCCCCCGTCTCACCTGTTCCTCCCCGCACCGTGACGGGGCCCTTAGAGCCCTCCTCTCACCGCAGGCCTTGCCCACCCCCGTTCATCTGGACCCGCCCGGCTCCCTTCCTGCCTGGGAAACCTTCATGGCTCAGCTGTCCACTGCCCGCTTGCTGGGGGCGGGGGTTTCCTTCCTGGGGACCGTTGCTGGTTGCCCGCACGCCGGCTTCTCCTTGAGGGGTCCCAGTGTCCACAAGCACCCGGACGGCTTGCCCCCTCAGGGCTCTGCAGTCCCCACTGGACAGACGGACGGAGCCTCACGCCTCAGCCCCACCCCTGCTCCTGCCCACACGGGCCTCTTGAGGCTGCTTCTGGACGTGAGGGCCTCCCGGCTTCTCCCTGAACCTCGGGGTCGATTGGCCCAGCACCCCCTTGCACACCCAGTCCTGCGTGTCCCTCGTGCTCACGCCAGAGCTGGGTACCCTGGGAGAAGAGGACACAGCCAGGCGTCTGGCTGGCTCCTGGGGGCTGTTGGCCTCCCCTCCACCCACTGTGCCCCTCCCGGCCGCCTGCAAAGCCTCCAAGGCCAACGGGTGGTCAGGGGGAGAGTGCCCGGGCCGCAGGCAACAAGGACAGTGGCAGATTCTGCCACAGTGTGGGGGAGTGCCTTCAGGAGACCAGGCTCAGCCTTGCAGGTAGGGCACCCCTGCACAAATCTGCCATCCAGTCAGGCGGTAGACAGTGATACGGGCTGTGGCACGAATGGGCTGGAGCCGTGGGGACACAGAGGAGGCAAGCCACGCCGGGTGAGGACCGGGGCCAGAGCCCGGGTCTGACCCCGGCCAGTTGGAGGGTGTCCAGGGCACGACTGCTGGCAGTGTCCTTTGGGGGCCTGGCCTCCCTCCTCTGCAAGCCCCTCCCCAGCTGGACTGTCTGTCACCTGTGCTGAGGCCGTGTGGGGGCCGCCGATCAGGAGCCTGTTCGGGGGGACACGCGCCTCTTCCAGTGCATGTGGGAATTCCTGAAATACGTGCTCCTGTGCGGAGTTACGCTGAGAGGCGGAAGGAACACAAACATGCAGGCCGACCCGCCCTGTGCCTCCCGCCCGCAGGAAGCTGGTCAGACCCGCTGGGGCGCTGAGCACGCCTGCTCCCCTGGCTCCTGCACCTCCGCGCTGGGGTGTGCGGGCTGGCGGTCCCAGGGTCTGCAGCCTGCCGGGTGGGCGCATGCTTCCCTCTGTCCCTCTCGTCTCTCCCTGCAGGGTGCGCACGTCCAGCTTCCTGGGACGTCCGCTCCATGTGTCCACAGTTCCTCTTGTTGCCAAGTGCCCGCGGCGTGAGCGCTTCTGGCCACCCCGGGACTCTGAGGAGGCCCTCCCTGTTGGGGGGCTCCAGGGGGAAGGGTGCGGCCTGAACTCACCCCGCTGGGGCCCCATTCCCGCAGAGGTCTGGGAAAAGTAGGGGGGCCAGCCAGCAGCTGCGTTAGGGGGTGCTTGGCAGGGGGTTGTCAGGGACTGTCAGGGGACCAGCCAGCCTGAGCCGCTCAAGGGGACACAGTAGTGGTCAGGGGTCAGGCAGGCAGGGCCTGAGGCTCGGCCAGAGATGGAGGAGAAGGTTCCTGGGAGCATGGATGCAGGGGTGACACCAGAGAGGCACCCGGTCAGGTTTGTCTCCTGGAGGGCCGGCCCCAACAGCTCAGGGCCAGGGACCGGAGGCCTGGGGAAGGGTGGACTGGGGTGGACAGTCTGCAGGGGGCAGGGGGCAGATCCAGGACTCGCTGGGCAAAAGCAGCCACCCCTGAGACCAGAGCAAGGCAGGGAGAACCCTCTGAGGGAGGTTGGAGATGCACCTTGACTTTGCTGGGTATAAGGGGGCCTGCCAGGCCCTGGGGCACATGGGCCTGGGCGTAGGGTGTCGGGAGCTGGGGCACCAGCTAAAGGTGCGGATGGGCATGGGGAGGGTGAGGAGTGTGTGCAGCCAGTCTCCGGCCCTGCAGGGTCACTGACCAGGAGCGGCACTCCAGGGAGGCAGGGGCTGGTGCCCTGGGCCGGGAGGGCCCCTGCCCCAGGGTCCTTGAGCACAGAGCCCAAGGCGGCCCATTGGGTATGGAGTGGGCCTTCCTCGCAGCTCAAAGCTCTCTGCACTTTGGGCAGACAGGCGTCGCCAGGTCTCCCGGGCCAATTCAGGAGAGCTGTGAGATTCGTGGGAGGGTAATGCTGGAGCAGTGTGAGAATCCTTGAGTCACAGATGGTGGCTCCAGACGCAGGCAGGGCCCTGTGCCGAGGGTTGGGTCAGGGCGGAAGGGCCCCAGCGCCCCTCCCTGCAGGTGGCACGGGAAGCAGGCAGGATGAGTGGGGTGCCGGGAGGGCTGCTAACCGCGTGGCCTTGAACCCCTGGGGCTGCCCTGGGGGAGGGGCAGGCATGCCCTGGGCTAACCCCGAGGGCAGGGCCGGCCAGGGCTGAGGATGCAAATCTGTTTTCTCTTGACTATGACAAGCTGCCTTGTGAGGTGGTGAGCTCCTCGTCCCGGGAGTTGTGGAAGCAGAGACACCCCCATGGGGGCTGCAGCTTCTTAGCAGGGTCTCCAAGCACCAGGAACAGAGTGCTTGATGTCGGTCCTGCCCGTAGCACTGATACGGGCACAGTTCCCTGGGTGTCTCCGGGCGGGCCGGGGGCTCCCCTGGAGTGCTGCAGGGACAGTGTCTCCAGATGCTTGGCTGGGGGTGGGCCCCATGTTCCCTGTTTGCAGATGTCGCGGTGGCTGAACTCAGGTGCACGGCCAGCCTGGCGGGGTCCGGGGTGGGCAGGGCAGGTCCCGATGCTGGTTGGGATTTGTGAAATGGCAGGCGGGGCTGGACTGTGCTGGAGGGGGCGGCAGGGTGAGGCTACCTAGGCTGGCCAGGCAGGCCCAAGGAGACACCCTGCGGAACCGGGCTCGGTCCAGCACCAGGCCCCGGGGGTGACGGCTCTTCTCAGGCCGAAGGGCAGGCAGGTGGGAGGTGGGCCCCTCAGGGGTCCGAGGGCCTGGGGCTGAACACGTGCCCCGCAGGGGGAGGAGGCAGCGGGTTTTTGCTTCCTGCTTTACCCGGGCACAGGTGCCTGAGGGGGTGGTGTGCGGGTTGCCATGGAAACACAGCCTCGCGGCCTGTCCCTCAGAGAGAGGCTGCTGGGAGGTGGCAGCTGCAGTGGACAGCCCCCACTGAGGGGTCCGGCGCAGCCGTTGGCCTGCTCACCTCCCATCCGAGAGCGGGGATGGCCCATGTCCCACCCGGTTCTGTGCAGAGGCCCGCAGAGCCCCTGCGGCTGCTGCGATGGGTGTAAGGGTGGAAAGGGGGTGCCCGGGACAGGACAGCACGGGGGGGTGGGGGCCGGGCCCAGAGGGGCAAAGTCCCGAGCCTGGACACCCTTGGGCCTGAGGCGGGGAGCCGTGGTGGCGGGAGGGAAGCCAGGCCCCGCCCACTCGCGACATTCCTAATTGCTGATGGCTGACTCACCCTCACTTCAGAGCCAGGGCCCCATTCAGCTATTTAGCCGCTGCACCCCGCCCGCCCTCCCGCCAGTCGCTGGTGGGAGCCGGCCGCGTGCAGCAGGCGCCTCCTCCCAGCCCGTTCCGCGGGCTGTGCCCGCAGCCATGGCCGTGCAGGTGCCCCTCTGGCACCACTACCTGCAGGCGCTGCGCTCGCGGGCAGCGTCCCGAGCACAGGAGCACCAGCGCGCCGAGGACGTGGTGCTCACCCTGCTGGGGCGGGTGCACACCCTGGACCCCCGCTTCCTCGTGGACTACTCCCGGGACCTGGAGGCCTTCCAGTTCGCCCTGCGCTCCTCGGAGGGCCCGCTGGACGTGGAGGTGCCCCTGTGGGTGGACGCCGAGGCCTTGGTGATTGAGGAGGTGGGGGCCGCCGAGGCGGGGGGCGGCCTGGGGTGCTGCCGCCTGGGCCTCCCCCGGGAAGCGGCCGGCCTGGAGCGCTGGAAGGCAGACGACGTCTTCGAGGCCTCCCTGGAGGGCAGCGCCAGGTGCTGCGGCCACATCGTGCCCGGCAAGGTCCTGCGGGTCCTCAAGGACCTGCTGGTGGCGGCCGTCGTGTACTGCAAGCACCACCGCCTCATCACACCAGGTGCGGGTGATCGCGCTGCACGCGCGTGGGTGTGAGTGTGTAAGTGTGGGACTGTGAGATCTAAGGGCATGTGTGCAAACACGTGTGTGTGTGTGTGTGTGTAAGTGAGGGATGGCAGGCCCATGAGTGCATGTGTAAATACATGTGTGTAAGTGTGGGATGACTGGGTAGTGAGTACATGTGTGAACACGTGTGTGTGTGTAAGTGTGAAACTAGGATCGTGAGTGCATGTGTATGTGTGTAAGTGTGAGACAGCAGGATTGTGCGCACATGTGTGAAAACGTGTGTAAGTGCATGCATATGTGAATACATGTGTGTAAGCGTGGGATAGCAGGATGGTGAGTGCATGTGTGAACACGTGTGTGTGTGTAAGTGTGAAACTGTAGGATCATGAGTGCATGTGTGCGTGTGTAAGTGTGAGAGCAGGATCATGAGTGCACGTTTGAGCACAAATGTGGGTGTGTAAGTGCATGCATGTGCAAGCATGTGTGCGTGTGTGTAAGTGTGGGACTGCGGGATCGTGAGTGCATGTGTGTGCACACGTGAGGGTGTGTGTGTGCCGGTGTGCATAGGCCTGTATCTGTGTACCGCTCAGTTGCTAGCTCGTGTTCTGGCCCTGGGCAGGTTCTGTGGGGGAAACTTTCCAGTGAACTGGCTCTGGCCTCAGCGTCTCCCTGGTTGCCCCAGTGATGTGATCTGATGGATGGGGGCCGCGGGCAGCACTCCTGACAGGCCCAGAAGTTGTGGGCCCCCTTCCAGCAGGGGCTGCCTGGACCTCAAGGGCGCGGGAAGGACAGCTCAGCACGGCAGGTCCCTGGGTGATGAAGTGCATCCTCCAGGGGGTCAGGGCCGAGGAGCAGGGCCTGGGAAACAAGACAGGGGGTGCAGCTTGCCCGGGAGGGGACAGGCACGAGGCACTGTGGCTGTCACCTGGAGTCCTCTTGGCCCCACATCAGCGAGTGGGACGGCAGCCCCCCCGAGGGGTGCTGACCTGCCCTGGCCGCCCAGTGTGCGGAGCTCAGGTCTGACCGTACATCCAGGCTCAGGTCCTGCGGGTTCCGGGGGAGCCAGGTGTCTGTCTGCAAGCCGATGTGAAGGGGCTCCTGCCCACCTGGCCCCCGCAGGCCTGCTGCAGGCTGATGGCAGACGCGCCCCTCTGGGCGGGCGCTCCTGAGCTCAGCTCTGCTCGTGTCTTGTCCGGTCCCCTCTGAGCCTCGCAGTGACCGCCGGCAGCTGGGCAGGGCTCTTCTCTTCTTCCTCCGTCCCACAGGGCCCAGCGGCCAGGCCCCTCCTCCCCACCCGAGCTTCCTGCTGTGGGAAATTCCAGGCGTTGCTTCTGACACTTGCCTTAAAAGGGAAGCGGCAGCCCAGGTGCAGGGGTTCAGGCCGCCCCCACCCTGGTAACCGGTGAGACGGGCCGGGCCGAGGTGGGGAGTGCCAGGGACGGTGGGTGCGGCTGGCTGCCTTCCAAGCCACCTTTCTGTGAACAAAGGCAGATGAGGAAGTGAAACTGCCCAGGTGTCTGCACACAGGGTCCTCCAACCACGCTGAATGGGATGGCCTGGGGGTCCCTGGGCCCCTTCCCCGCTCACCTGGTGGGGAGACGGGCCCTGCAGGGGACGGGTTGGCCCTGGGGCAGGGCCAGGACCTGCTCTGGGCGGGGTCCCAGAAGGTGGCCCAAGAAGTGCCCTGCTGGAGGTTGTGGGGGAGGGGGTCTTCGTAGGGGGGTGAGGGGCACGCAGGCTCCCCCCTGAACCCCGGGGGGGCTGTGGAAGGCCTGGGGCGGGCAGTGCAGAGTGTAAGGTGCCACGCATCCGGCTCCCAGGGTCTCCTGGGCTCACCAGCGCCGAGACCGTCCTCCAGGTCACGTGCTGGGGACTCCCTTTGGGACCTGATGACCCGCCCTCCGGGCCCCGGCTGGCCAGCTCCTGGCCTCTAGCCTGGCACCCTCTCTGGGCAGTGCTGGGAGGGCAGGGGAGACCTCTCCTCACCCAGGCCACACACAGACCCCCTCCCGCTGCCCTGAGAGAGCCTGCTCTCTCCGGGTTGTGTGTGTGTTTGGGGGAAGGGACACCATGGAACGTCCCCTCCTGGTGATCTGTGGCACTTTCCACGGCCGTGGGTGCCAGGCTGGGCCCCTTGGAGTCTGGGGAGGAGGGGGAGTGGGAAGCAGGTCAGGTAGAATGTGCAGAAGGAGGCAGGCTCCGGTGCCCGGCCTGCATGTCCGGTGGGGTCCAGGGCCTCCTCCTGGCTGAGCCTGCGCCCAGCCAGCTCCTCACCACCCAGGCTGCAGGGCCACTGGGCACTCACCCAGGGCCTGGCCCTTCCTGGATGGGTCACGGGTGGAGCCTGGAGGGCGCTCTCGGGTCACATAGGGGAAGTGGGGAGCAGGAGGGTCTGCTCAGGGGACATCCAGCCACAGCCAGGCCCCCTCCCTCGGGCTCTGGAGCTGGAACATCACAGAGGCCGCCCCACCCTCCGGAGGAACTGCAGGGTCACCAGACTGTGGGGAGGGTGGGACCCGACCTCCAGCAGCCCAGGGTGTCCCCAGCAGAGGGGCTTCTATGACCTGCCAGCCCGGGATTAGGGGCCCACGGGTCCAGGAAAGGGGTGCTGAGGCAACCAGGGACTGGGGGTGCACTGTGTGTCCTGGGGCATGGGGCGCAGCCTTAAAATCAGCCTCTTCGAGCCAAGGGTTAGGAACCTCCTCCAGACCCAGGGACCTGGCGGCCTGAGCAACAGAAGCGCATTTCCTCCGTGTTCTGGAGGCTGAGGTCCCAGGTCCCAGGGTCACGGGGTCCAGAGCCTGGTTTCACTGGGGGCGCCCCTTGACTAGAGATCCACCCCCCAGCATCCTCCTGTGGGCTTTTCAGGGAGCAGATCTCGACATTTGTTCCATGAGCAGGTCTCACTGGGTCAGGGCCCCCTCACGGCCTCAGTGTGCCTCGCTAGAGGGACCGCCCGAGGCGCAGGGGTTGGGGTTCGGAGGTCGGCCCGGGAGAGGGGCTGGCTTAGCAGGTGGCCCATTGCAGGCTCCCTGAGTGTGGACAGCCTGAAGGAGGAGCAGCTCGGCCTGTCCCTGCGGGTGTCCAGCGGCTGGAGGACACTCTGCTTCAACGTGGTGCCCGTGGTGCGGAAGAGGCTCAGGGTGCCCGCCCTGGAGGGGGCTGGGCTGGTGCCGGGTTTCCCTGAGGGTGCCCTGCGAGGGATCGTCTGCCAGAAGGCCACCCTGGTGCCGGCCAGCGCGGAGCTCTGGAGGTAGGATGCGCTCCGGGTGTGCGGGGCTCCGGGGAGCCGGCGGGAGGGGCGGCCCGTCACCCCTCTGTCTGCCGACTCCGGGCAGGGGGGCCTGTGGGGGTACCCTCCGCCTCTGCCCCGGGCTCCCAAACAGTGCTGCCATTCCCGGGGTCGCAGGGATCCCACCAGACTGCTTGCCCCCCACTGCCGGCTCCTCACCTCTTGGCGCTGGGCAACGGGGAGGCGTCCTCTGTCCCCCTGGGGAGGGGGTGCTGTCAGGAACCGAGGGGTACTCGGAACTCTGGGGGGCTGTCCTGGGCGGCCTCCTCCACCACCCCCCTGGCGCCTTCCCTTCAGGTGGGACAGTGGCGAGGGCCAGGGGACTGATCTGGGAGGGCCCTCACGGGAGGGTGGTCAGTGTCCGAGGAGAGGCATTGGCCCTGGGCTCTGCCCTTCCCAGACGCGCATCCCCCACCGTGAGGGAGGAGACAGCTCCCACCTGGGCTGTTCGCCTGCAGGCCCTCCCACCGGCCCTGGAGCCCCCGCAGCCCCGCCTCGGGTCCCGGGTCCCGCCCAGGAGCCTGTGCTCAGGAAGTCGGCTGGTCCTGCAGGGAAGGGGGGCCGCCTCGGTGTCTGTGAGGGGCGGGGGTACGGGGCCGAGGCTGAGCTCCCCTCAAGCCCAGGGCTGGGAACTGGGCCCCATGCTGACCTGACCTGGCGCCTGGTGTGCAGGGTCGCCCTGTTCTGCCCAGGTGACTCACCCCAGCTCCCGGGGCTGGGGACACTTGCAGGAACGAGGCGCGGCTGCCTAAGCAGGGCTCACTCTCACAGTCCAGCTGATGCTTGGACGTGGATGGCGATCATCAGGCTGGTTGTGCCCTTCTGTGGTTCTCTGCCCTGAGGGAGTCCCAGCGGAGAGCCCGTGAGCCCCCCCAGGCCTCCCCAGCTGAGCCACCTTGCCCAGAGCAGGGGCTGCGTCCAGGCTGACCCCTGCCCATAGAGGGAAGAGAATCGCTGAGCTGGGTGGAGTCACTTTTCACGAGTAAATGGGGACATGGCCTGTCCTGTGACATACCCACCGCAGATCAGGGCGTGCGGGCCGGTGACCGTCCAGCACGGAGACCCCCCAGGGAGGGGGGCTCACAGGACACCAGTTTCCACCTTTTCAGCCCACTCAGCGAGCGCCTCTGGCATGTGATACCCACACTGTGGGCATTGCCGCAGGGCCAGATTCTATGTGTGCAGCAGCCAGGGGGTCTGGGCTTCCCAAATGGGGCCTGGAGTGGAGACGCCACCTGCCCGGCCTGGGAGCTTCACCCGGCCCCTGCCCGCCTACCCAGAGCCGCTGCTTCACCTCTGGTGGGTCACAGTGGTATCTGCCTGCCCACACGAAGAGGCCTGGACGTGCCTGGGGACGCCCAGCTGCCCCCCACATCCTGGGCCTGAGCTTCTACCTGGGAATGGGACTTTCCACCCCCAGGGCCCATCAGGAGTGGTTCCTGAAAAGTGCAGGCGTGAGCCGTGAGCGCCAGGCCAGTCCCCATGTGGCCTGGGCCGTCCTGTGGGGCTCAGACGGCCACAGAGGCGGCGGACTGTCCTTTCTGAGGACAGGCTGGGCAGGCACGTGTCTGGACGCCTGAGCGGCCATGGTGCTGACCGCCCGCGGTATGTCTGTTGGGCTCCAGGGTCTCCACTGACTACCTGCTCACCAGGCTGCTGGGGGCGCTGGGCTCCCTCCGGGGCCACCGCCTAGACAGCCTCTCCATCCTTGACCGGGTCAACCATGAGAGCTGGCGGGACGGCGGCCGGAGCCCCGGGCTGACCTTCGGCCACTTGAAGGTTTGTGGTCCCTGCGCGGCCTCTCCTGGGCCTGTGTGAAGGGGGAGTGGCTGGGCTGGGGGCCAGGGGTCTCCTCTGAGGGCCAGCAGTGGGGCGGGGGGTGGGGTGCTGCTCCCCGCCTGGGGTGGGGCTTGGGGAGGACCTGGTGGGAAGGTTACTGTGAACCCCACTGTGACCCATTTGCCCCCCACCCCAGGCCTCCATGCCCCTCTCCCCAAAGGGCTGATGGCTTCCGAGGGGGTTCTTTGGGTCTCACACTCTGGCTCAGTGGGCAAGAGGGGGTGTGCGGCAGGGGGTGCCAAGCGACAGGAAGGGCCCCTGGCCGGGGGCTTGGGGTGGAGGAGGAGGAAGTGCTGGGGGTGGCGCAGATAAGTCTATTCTGGTGGCTTTGAGATGGATCCAGGCATCCTGGACTCACCAACGAGGGCGGGGACGATGTTACTGGGCAGGGCACTTTGTGTAGGGCTATGGGGCATCAGTAGGAGTTCGTGCAGGACAGGGCACGTGGGGAAAGGCCCACAGGATGGTGGGAGCCTCAGAACGCCCTGAGCTTGACCCCAGGGAGAAGAGGGGCGTCAGGCTGGGAGCCGCTAGAACGCCCAGGGAGGCGCGGCGGGCGGGGCCTCCCCGGGCTGGGCTGACGCGGTGCCCCACAGACGGTGCTGCTGTGGTCCGCCACGCTCTTCCCCATGCCCGAGGACTGGGAGGAGCTCCAGGGCGCCGTGTACCGCCTGCTGGTGGTGCTTCTCTGCTGCCTGGCCACCAGGAACCTGCCGCACTTCCTGCACCCTGAGCAGAACCTGCTGCAGGACGCGGGCCTGGACCTGGGCGCCCTCTACCAGCGCGTCGAGCGCTTCGCCAGCCAGCCTGAGGCCGCCCTGCGCATCCACGCCACCCACCTGGGCCGCAGCCCCCCGCCGCGTGCGGGCAGCGGGCTCCGGGCGCTCCTGCAGCTGCCCGCCAGCGAGCCCGCCTACTGGGCCACTGCCTACTTCGACGTCCTGCTGGACAAGGTGAGCGCAGAGGCTGGGGGACCCGGCAGGTGTGGGGTCATGGTGGGTGGGGAGGGAGCCCTGCTTTGCGACTCCTGGTCAGGAGCTGAGGAAGGTGGGGCAGGCCAGTCCTCACTGGGGCAGTGCAGTGGGGGCGTCTGTCGGGCTCAGAGAAGCCGTGAATGCCCCCAGCCGCCAGGGACCTCAAGGGCCAAGGGCCCAGCTCTGGGAACCAGGCCGTCTGGGCCTGCCCCCGGCGCCCCCGAACCGCCCACAAACCCACACTGGACAAGTGCTCAGAGCCCCACCTGCCCCCTGGGACAGAGTGTGGCTGCCCCGGGCCTTCTGGGGACAGCTTCCTGCTGCCCCCCTGGGCTCGGGGGTCCCTCGGCCATGCCCACGTCCGTGTGTGTCCACCTGCTGTCCGTCCTTGAGTCCCCAGGCTCCACCGGCTCTGCTACGTCTCCCTGCCCCCGCCCCACAGAGCCCCTCTGGCTCCTATCCCCCAAGGCCAGTTCTCACCCCGCCTTGAGAGCCCACACAGGCGCCTTCCAGGGTGCGTGGGGGTGGGGGCTTGGGGGGCGGGGCAGTGCACGGCGAGCTCTCAGCCAGCACCCGGGGGGGGCTTCCCTGTGTCAGGCCCATCCAGGGGAGGGCCTGGGACAGGGGGCCCCAGGTGTGTCCGCCCTCAGGGAGGACTGCACAGGTGAAGACCCAGAGGGAGGAGGCTGGAGACCAGGGAGCGCCGGATGGCCCCCCACGGCCCGTGACCGCGCTGTCCCACCCCACCTGCAGTTCCAGGCCTTCAACATCCAGGATGAGCAGCGGGTCTCGGCCATGCAGAGCGTCTTCCTGAAGACCAAGGCTCTGGGTGCTGAGGATCGCTGAGGTGGGCGCCGGCTCACTGCCCTCGGGCGGCTGCACCGCCCACGGAGGCTCTGGGAACGTTTGGAGGAGGGAACGGGCTTCAGCTGGAGTGGATTTGGGGGTGGAGGGCCTTTGTCCCCAGGGCCCACCTGTGCGTGTCCAGGGTCAGCCCCGGGGGCGTCTGAGTGTGCTGGGCAGTGTGTCTCGCAGGCCCCGGGGTGAAGGTGCTGTGCGCTCTGTGTGACGTCATCAAGACCGAGAGCTGACAGTCCTCGGGGGGCCAGGAGCTTGTCTGCACCTGGGTCGTGTGCTGCTCCAGGTGGCGGGGCCTCTGATGTGTCCAGTGGGGCCGGGACCGCCTGCTTTCTGGATACAAAAAGTGGAGAAGCTTGTGTGCAGACATCCTTCTCTGTCCCTGTGATCGACCCCGGCCCGCCCCCAGTCCTCACCTGCTAGTTCATGAGGGAGCCACCCGCAGCCCCCCGCCAGCGGCACCGTGGCAGAGGCACCCCTGCTGTGTGCGGGGGCTTCTCCCAACAGGTGGCACCCCCGTCCCCACCCGTCTCGGCCCTCGGCTGTTTCCACCTCCATTCTCCCGTCAGCGCGCTGCCGGCGGCCCGTAGCCCCTCACCCTGCAGGGCTGCCACCCTCTGTGTGCCCCGGCCAGCAGGCGTTCTGCAGTCTTCACTCTGCCTGGAAGCAGCGTGGCTCCTGAGTTCTGAGCCACAGTCCACGCCCTGAGTCCTGAGAAGGTGGCTGCAAACCCCAGAGAGTCCGTGTGGCAGGCACCTCCCTGGACCTCCTCCGGAAAGTGGTCACACGCACGCTGCAGAGGGGACGCGTGGGCCTCTCGGGAGGCCGTGGGACCCGGGGCCTGAGCTGACACTAAGGGGAGGGGACACGGAATGCCCCCAGGCACACCCCGCGCCCTGCCGTGAGGCGGGCAGCTGCAGAAGGTGTTAGCTTGGTCCAGCCTGACTCGTGAGGGGCGCAGTGGCCAGGCTCACCCTGTGTCATTTCTCTGATGTTGGAGAATGCAGGGGGCTGCACTCAGCAGGAGAAAGCTACAGTGGCAGGAAAGGCCAAGGGGAAGACGTTATAACCACCCACGCCCAGAGCCAAGAGTCCGGCAGAACATACCGAAGGCCAGTGTCAGGACTCAGTGCCACTGTCAGAGACCCTGGCTCAGCAGGGTGACCTCAGCTCAGAGGTCAAAATGAGAGGCTGAGATTGGGGGTGCCGAATACCTGTGGGGCAGGGGGCGTTTGGGAAACCTCTGCACCTTCCTCTCCCTTTTTCTGTGAACCTAAAACTGCTCTGAAAAGGGGCCTAAAGATAAATTAAAGAATAAAAATCTCCGTTGGATCATGGTGAATGGCAGGGGATTACATAAAAAGAGCCAGGCCACACGCAGCCACCCAGGTGCTGCGCTGTGGCTCCCTTCAGCGGGGCAGACGGCACGGCCTCGGGGATCGAGGTGCCTGCCCAGCAGGGACTGCCCCCTTTCCAGCCCCATGAGGGAGGGAGCTCACAGCAGCTTGCGGTCACGTGGGAGAGGCACCAGCATCGCATGGCATGGCCCCAGACTGGCACTCACCCCCCGCTTGTGTCCCGACATAAGCCTGATGGAGCTTCATCGTCGGGACGACCTGTAGGAAGTCACGCAGGTTCACTGTACGGGAGGCGTCCCGCGAATACACCTGGGGGCATGGGCTGGCAGTTCTGTGCATGCTGCTAGTCACCCTCACTCCTGAGGGCAGAGAAGTGACACTGAGCAAAATACGGGTAAGGCCTCTGCGCTGAAAACTAAGTATAACTTTTAGAGACATATGTTAACATTCATGAATGGGAATTTGTAATTTTTTATTGGTTTCCATTCATCTTGGTACGTTTTTTGTTGTGCAGTCGCTCAGTCGTGTCCGATTCTTTGCGACCCCGTGGACTGCAGCACGCCAGGCCTCCCTGTCCATCACCAACGTCTGGACTTTACTCAAACTCACGTCCATCAAGTCAGTCATGCCATCCAACCATCTCATCCCCTGTTGTCCCCTTCTCCTCCCACTTTCAATCTTTCCCAGCATCAGGATCTTTTCCAATAAGTCAGCTCTTCACATCAGGTGGCCAAAGTATTGGAGGTTCAGCTTCAATAGATACATAGATTTACTGCAGTTCCTACCAAAATTCCAATAAGCTATTCTGAGGAAACAGACAAGCTGACTCTAAAATGTATATGATTTCAAGCCTTACGACAAAGCTAACGTGCTGAAGACAGTGTGGTGTGGACACAAGGAGAGAGAAGCTCATTAATGCATGGGCACAGAGGCAGACCTCCACCTCTGGTCAGTTGGCAAAGGGGGTGCGCCAACCACACAGGAGGGAAAGTGTGCCCAGCAAACACTGGAACAACGGGGTGTCCTCTGGATAAAAGTGGACCTTGACCCCTTCCCCACTCCACGCACAGGATCACCAAGAGGGGGTCATAACCTCAACAGAGAACTTGACACCACAGGGCTTCTGGAAGAAAACCCGGGAAGAGGTCTTCAGGACCCCTAAGTGGACAGGACTTTCCCGGGGAGGAGCTGAACAGCACAGACCGTGAAAGACCCCCGGGAAGAAAGAGGACTTGAGCTCTGGGGTTTCAGGCCCTCTGGCCTCTGAGCCCCTGTGCTGACCGCAGCCGCCCTGGGGCAGGGTCTGGATCAGCCTGTTGGAGCCAGCTCCCCTGGTAGCTGAGAGCACCGCGGGCCCACAGGCCCTGGGTCGGCTCGGGGCCCTACCCCAGGGCCCACCGTGGTGCCCAGCCCCCACCTGGTGAGCCACAGGGGCGGAGCCAGGCCCACACCAGCCCTCCCCAAGACTCGAGGCTGCTGCGGGGTGAGTGCCCAACTCAAGAGCGGGACCCTGGAGCCTGCCTCTGGAGGATCTTAGACCCAGTGAGGACCAGGACACGTGGATGTGGCCGTGACCGCTGGCAGCACACTCTGGTCGGGCCTGGATGGACCCTTCCCAGGAAGGACAGATGAGGGAGCCAGACCCAGGCAGACTCCCAGGGAGGGGCAGGGGCTAGGGGCAGGGGGTCGGGGGTGCCAGGCGGCAGGGGAGGGGGCTGCAGTCCTGGCCCCCGTCTGCTGCACACGTGAGCGCAGAGCAGCCCAGGGCCTGGCCCTCCCCGGCTCTCAGAGCCTGCATGTCTGCGGTGTGCCCGGGGCTCCTCAGGGCCCGAGTTCTGGCTGTGTGCTCCTGGGCCCTTGGTACCCTAGCCCATGACTCTGTGGGCCACGGGGCCTCTGTGGGGGTGGTGGGAGAGGAGGCGTTCACAGGCTCAAGATCTAGACCCAGACTGTACAGTGACAGGGACCCCAGGCCGCTGACCAGCCCACATAACCCGTCCTCCAGCCGGGATCCTTCCGGCAAGGTTCTGCTCCCTGAATTCAAACCCCCAGCTCAGGTGCAGTCAGGGAGCAGGGGTCCACTCCACACAGTGAAGACCTATGAAGCCACTTCTTTATTGAACCTTCATAGGAGGCCAGGGACCTATGGGGGCAACAGCTCAAGGAGAGGTGCTGAGGGTCCATGTGGCCACACCCAGGACGTTCCACCGGTGGTGGTGGGGGGTCCGGCCGCCTGGGGCGGGACAGACGCCTGGGCAGGGCAGCCCCCGGCTGGTGCCCCCTGCAGAGTCTGTTCGCCCCGGGGCCACCCGCCCGCTCCCAGGGTGGACGAGGGGCAGGCAGCCAGTCACAGCTTGTTGCGGGGGCAGCGCTGGAGGGCCTCCCGCAGGGCCCGGGTCACCCGGCCCACATTCTCCCGCGTGGCGTTGCCGCCCAGCAGGCCGATCCGCAGCACCTGGGGCAGGGCCGGGGGAGGAGGTCACCTTGGGCGGGGCCTGGCTGCCAGCCCTGAGGTCAGCGCAGAGCCGACTGGCGTCCCCCAGTGTGGGAGGAGGGGCCGGGGTGCACTTGGCTGAGTCACTGCCCGGTTCAGAGAAAGGTGTCCCCTTCCTGCTACAACTGGCCCAGGCCTGGGCCTGGAGCGCTCACGGCTGCAGGGCCCTTACCTTCCCCGCTGAGGGCCCAAGGCCGCCCGCAATCTCGATGTCGTGGTGGTCCATGATGTACTGGACGATGTCCCTCCAGTCATAGCCCGTGGGGACCACCACACTGGTGATGGTGGGCAGCCGGAGCGCCTGCAGGACGCACGGGGCTCGGCCACCTCCTGACAGGTGGCAGGGAGCCTCCCCTGCCTGGCCTCCAGAGGGGTGGCAGGAAGGGCCGAGCATCGGGGTGGGAGAAAGGGCCCACAGAGTGGGGTCTCCACCCTCCCAGCAGCCACGCCCACCGGCTGGTGCTCAGGGTGGGGCTTCCAGCCTCCAGGGACCCCTGCCCCCCCACCCCCGCCCTGTGTCTGCTCTTGGGCGGGTCACACACTGAAGCTCGGGGTGCCTGGCTCATCCAGCATACCCCACCCCTAACCCCTTCCAGGCTGGTGTCTGGCCAGGGCTCTGAGGGCCAACGGGCATCTTCCAGCTCAGAGATCACCCACGACTCCAGGCAGAAGGCTTTGGAGGGAGCAGGGGCACCCAGTTAAGTGTCCTGAGATCCAGAGGCCAGAAAACTGTGACCATGAACATGACTGCCCCCACCCCGGACCCACATATCTAGATGGGGGCTGGACAGGAGCTCTCCCTTCTCTCCACCCCCACCTGCTGCCCCCTGCCCCTGCCTCCTGCCCCCTGCCCCCTGCCCTCTGACCCCCTGCTCCCACCCCTGCTCCTGCCCTCTGCCCCCGCCCCCTTCCCTTGCCTCCCGCTCCCCACCCCTGACCCCTGCGCTCTGCCCCCTGCCCCCTGCCCCCACCCCCTGCCCTGCCCTCCTCACCGGGTCCTTCACGAACAGTTGCAGGCCCAGCCCCTGCAGACATGCGTGCAGGTACTCAGAGGCCTCTCGATGCTGCCGCCAGCTGTTCTCCAGGCCCTGGAGGGAGAGAGTGCAGGCTGGGGGGCGGGTGGGTTCCCTCCTGGCATGAACAGCAGGGGAGCTCTGGTCTGGAGAGGCTCTCCTCTCCTGTCCTGGACACTGAACCCTTTGGGAGCCCCCTTGAGCCGCAGGTTTAAGGCCCTGACTCTTTCCAAGGGCTGGGCCTAGGCCCCTCGGGGGGAGTGGGAATAGTCTGGAGGGGAAATAGCCTGGGCCCCAGCCGGTGGTTGGTCCTCCAGGCCCCTGGGAGGGGGTGTGCACCCAGCCAGAGGCGGGGAGCTGGCCAGGTGCAGACAGTGCCCTCCCAGCCCCTGACCCCACAGGCCCTGTTCTGGGGGCCTAGCCTCCCCTGCTTCCAGAGCTCATAGCCGGGGCCCCGCTCAGGAGACCCCCCCGCCAAGTGTGCAGCCCCCAGCCTCTCCGGCCGCACACGCCAGCCCGAGGCTGGGACAGTCTTGCCCGTGGCCCAGCCTGAGTCTGGCCCGGCCCAGGGCAGTGGTGACCTGAGTAGACACAGGGCAGACATGGCTGGTGCAGCACTGCAGCCTCGCTGAGGCTGGCCGCGGCCCAGGCCTCTGCTGGGCGCTGGGCTGGCCCCTGGGGGCGGTCCTGGTGTGTTTCTGGGCCTCTTGGGTCCCAAGAGTACGGACACTGCCCTGGTCACGGACGCCGCCCTGGGGGCGTCACAGCCGCTGACCCGTGCGGCTCCTGCCCTCCCTGGGAGTGGCGGGCACAGCGGGGCTCCTGGAGGGGGTCTCACTCCCCAGGCTTCCCTCGCTCGGGCCCGCCCTCTCTCCTTCCACCCGGCCTCTCTGCTCGCAGGCTGCCTCCTCTCTGCCTGCCCTTGTGTGCTCTTTACTGGGAGCCAGAGGGCGGGAATGTGGCCACACCTGTCCCATCTCTGTGTCTGCCCCCAGGCCCCCCGTCTGTCGGTAGCCAGCCCCCAGCCCTGCCCAGAGCTCTCCTGCCCCGGCCCAGTCTCTCTCCAGCAAGGCGCCCTAGGCTGAGGGAACCCTGGGTAGGGGCTCCGGGGCTCCCCAGGCTCGCCCTGCGGGACCCAGCTCCAGGCTCCCCGACTGCCCCCCGCTCCCCGCACCTGCTCCGCCAGGTGGGCCAGGCTCTCCCTCAGACTGTACAGGCTGACAACAGGGGTGGTGTGGTGGTACCTGGGGCACAGAGGGGCCCGGGTCAGTGGGCGCACTCGGGCAGTGCCTTGCTCTCCCCCAGCCCCCTCCCAGGGGAGCAGGGTCCAGTTTAGGGGTTATGGACTCGGAACCCGAAGGACAGGCGGAGGGGGGTGGGGGTGGGGCTCCAGGCAGGGGCAGCGGCCAGGCCGCCGGGGCAGGTGGACGGTAGTGGAGGCCGGGCACTGGGTCCCGCCTGGAGCCCGGTGCCTCGCTAAGCTGCTGGGCAGGGCACAGTTCCTGGAGGGCATTTCAGGCCTGGCACTGGAGAGCCTGTGGCTCCGGCCGGGGTGCGGGGGAATGAAGGTGGGGATCCCCCCCATCAGTCCTTGCACCCCCATCCCCTCACTCACATCCTGGGCTTGTCATCACAGCCCCAGATGTTGGCCAGCCACATGATGTCCAGGTAGAAAGAGACGGGCTTGGTCTTACGAGCATAGATCTTACTTCTAGGGAGAAAGAACCAGCAACAGTGCCCCTTGGTTCTCAGAAGTGAGCCCGGGCGGGGGTGCTCAGGCCCCATTGTCTGCGTTCAGACCCCCGGGGGTCCAGCCTGTGCCTCTGCCCGGGGTTGTGAGCCTGTCCCTCAGGACCCGGCTGGCGCCCCCTTCCCTGTCCCCTCCCGCGGAGTCGCCCTACACTATTCTCAGGTCAGAGAGAAAGGATGGGAAGGTCTGCTGGATGGTGAGTTCAAACACAGAAAGATTGCGGAGGGGACCCAGTTTGAGGAAAGCATCCGGGAAACTTGTTTGGAAAAATGGGGAAATCTGAAGACTGTAGTAGCCATGCTGTCTCCAGACTGCTGTTCTAACCTACAGGCCCAGGACTGGAGTGGCCCCAGGCCAAGCTCCAGGCAGTCCGCGCGTTGCAGGCCCGCCCCGCAGGCCCAGTCTGCAAGAGCTCCTTCCTGATGTCTGTCCTTTGCTACTGTTCATCCTGAATGCAAGGGTCTTCACACAAGGATTGATGCTTTCCAACTGTGGTGCTGGAGAAGACTCTGAGTCCCTGGGACTGCAGGGAGATCAAACCAGTGAGGACTAAAGGAGATCAACCCTGAAAATTATTGGAAGGAATGATGCTGAAGCTCCAATACTTTGGCCACCTGATGGGAAGAGCTGTCTGATTGGAAAAGATCCTGATGCTGGGAAAGATGGAAGGCAGGAGGAGAAGGGGATGACAGAGGATGAGATGGTTGGATGGCATCACTGACTCGATGGACATGAGGTTGAGTAAACTCCTGGAGTTGGTGATGGACAGGGAGACCTGGTGTGCTGCAGTCCATGGGGTCGCAAAGAGTCGGGCAAAACAACAGCAATACATGAGTCAGACTCCTCTGTCTGTCTCAAGCCTGAAGTCAAGGAGAGATGCTCTCAGCAGCCAAGGGCCTCTGTTTAGTCCTGAACAGGCTTTCTGCCCAGTTGCCTGGCCTATCCCTATGCTAAACGGATGCCAAATGCATAAGACACATAGGTATACCGGCCCTGAGGTTTTCTCTATTTGTTCAATACATTCTACAATGTTTATTGCATGGTTATCTGTCTGTCCATTTTTCTGTTTCAGAAATCTGAACATGGGTCACCATATACTTATGCTCTGTGTTTAATGGTGAGATTTAAATCTAAATAATTTAAAAATAGTATACCCACAAAAAATGACAGAGGGGAGACTGAGGCTAGAGGTCTAGGGATGAGGCCTCATCTTTCCTGGGAGCAAGTGAAGCTGGGGTTCATTGGAGGGGCCTAGAGGACAGCATGGAAAGAGCCCAGTGCCCTGGGCTGGGAGACCCTGGGCTCCCCGGCAGGCCTCTCCTCCCACTGGGCCTGCTCTGTCCCTCCTTCCCTCCCCGCTGGGGCCGCTGGCCTCCGCTGCCAGTCCGGTCCTGGGTGGGGGCGGTGGGGCTCACTCACTTGGCCTTGTCGCTGAAGGAGATGAGCGAGGTGCCTGGGGGCGCGTTCAGGACCTTCTGGGAGCCCGAGTAGAGGACATCAATGCCTGCGGGGGAGGGGTGCCCACTCAGGGCCGAGCCCACTAGGGGTCGTGGGGGCCGCTCGGCCCAGACGCTGCCAGTCCAGCAGACGCCGGGGGGCCTGGGACCCACCATCCAGCTGTGCAAACATAGGGAGGCGCGTGCTGTGGGACCAGACCCCTCGCCTGCAGGACCGACACCATTCCAGGCGGGCTGAGCTAACCAGGGGGCCCCCGCCAGTGTCTGCTTGCTGTGGCAGACTCCCGTGGCTGGGGTCAAAGTGCAGGCAGAGGCGGTGCGGGTGGCCGAGGGGGAGGAAAGGTGATGCTCTCACGTCGTGAGGTGCCCGTCCACGGGGTGCCCCCACCACCCGGGGATTTTAAGATACGGGCAGCAGCAGCGGAGGGCCCTGGGCAAGCAGCCAGCTGGGAGGACAGGGGACCAGGGCTGGGATCGAGCCCTGCCCCGCCGCCGCCTCTCTGAGGGTGGGGCCGATGGGAAACCGAGGCCCACTGGACGGGGTCCCAGGTGCCTGCCCGCACCCGCCCCGTCAGGGCTCTGACCCTCTCCAAGTGCTTGTCCTGCAGTGTCCCTCTCTCCCTCCCTCTCTCCCTGGGCTTGTCCGGGCCCAAAGGCCCAGCTGGGACACGGGGTGTGGTCAGTATGGAGACTGTCCTGCCCTGGGAGGAGCTGGTGTGTGCCCCGGGGCCTGTGGAGACCGGGCCCCGTGTGTGGCTGCTGGACGTGCTCGGGGCACGGGACGGCGGGGAGGACTTCTGACCCTCAGAGCCCACTGACGGCTGGAGTGGGGGGCACGCACTCACCCTGCCGGTCCATGTGGATGGGGGCCCCCCCCAGGGATGCCACCGAATCCACCAGGAGAAGGCACTGGTACCTGGGGGGCAGCAGAGAGCAGGACGGGGCTTCAGATGGCGGCCCGCCCTGAGCTGGGGCCGTGCGCAGCCCGCAGCAGAGCGGACGTCACACGGGGGCTCAGGATGGCCAGGCCCCCCAGACCCCAGGTCCCCCACAGGTACTCGAGAGGGCCAGCCGGGCAGTCTGCGCCCTGCACTCGTCTGGGTGCTCTGAACTCGCAGGCCCCAGGGCTGTGTGGGGTCTGGGGAGCTGGGCAGCTCGAGGCTGGCCCTCCGTCTGCCCAGCAGCCCACCGGGCAGAAGCCCAGCGCATGCGGAGGACAGAGTCCAGTACAGGCTGAGCTGAGCCTCTGACCCTCCTCCACCCCACGCTTTCCTAGAAGAAAGGCACAAAGAGGTCCCTGTGGACCTCTAGGGGTCACAGCCCAGGTGACACTTGTGAGCTCGGCCCCCTGGACAGGACTCCAGGGGGCAGGTGGTCCTGGCTGGGGCTGTGCCCAGCGGCCCCGGGGCCGCCGTGGAGGACAGACAGCAGGTCTGCCAGGATGATCCAGCCTGGAGGTGGAGTTTCTCTCCTTTCATCCTGTGGTCAACTGTCCAGAGCAGAACTGCTGGTCCTGGAAGGGGACCCTGTGGAGGGGTGGGGGCCCTGGGGAAGCCAGTGGAGGGCGGGGGCTCCTCTGGGGCTCTGGGGTCAGGGCAAGGTGGGCAGGCCCTGGGCCCAAGACTGCAGGGTCGGCATCAAGCCCTAATCTGCATGGAGGGAGGTGGCACTCTGGGGACGCCTGATCCTGCTCTCAGACCAGAGGGTCCTCCCAGCCTCTGCCCAGGCCCAGGAGGACCCCAAGAAAGCCTGAACCCCACTCCACACAAGAGAGGCTGGGGTGGGCCCAGTGGGGTAGGGAGCTGGGCCTCCCTGTTACTTCCTGTGGGGAGGGGCCCGCCAGCACCCCAGCCACCCCAGCCACCCCAGCCAATCCCCAGCCTGTATCTGAACTGGGCTTGGCTCTGCCCCCAGCACCAACACTCAGGGCCAGGGTCACCTGAGGGACAGGCTCACCTGAGGGACACACTCACCTGAGGGGCCAGGCTCACCTGAGGGCCAGGCACACCTGAGGGACATGCTCACCTGAGGGGCCAGGCTCACCTGAGGGACACGCTCACCTGAGGGACACACTCACCTGAGGGGCCAGGCTCACCTGAGGGCCAGGCACACCTGAGGGACATGTTCACCTGAGGGCACAGGCACACCTGAGGGACATGTTCACCTGAGGGGCCAGGCTCACCTGAGGGACATGCTCACCTGAGGGGCCAGGCTCACCTGAGGGACACACTCACCTGAGGGGCCAGGCTCACCTGAGGGCCAGGCACACCTGAGGGACATGTTCACCTGAGGGCACAGGCTCACCTGAGGGCCAGGCTCACCTGAGGGACACACTCACCTGAGGGCCAGGCTCACCTGAGGGCCAGGCACACCTGAGGGACATGTTCACCTGAGGGGCCAGGCTCACCTGAAGGACATGCTCACCTGAGGGGCCAGGCTTACCTGAGGGACACACTCACCTGAGGGGCCAGGCTCACCTGAGGGCCAGGCACACCTGAGGGACATGCTCACCTGAGGGGCTAGGCTCACCTGAGGGACACGCTCACCTAAGGGGTCAGGCTTACCTGAGGGCCAGGCTCACCTGAGGGACACACTCACCTGAGGGGCCAGACTCACCTGAGGGACATGCTCACCTGAGGTGCCAGGCTCACCTGAGGGACACACTCACCTGAGGGATACGCTTACTTGAGGGCACAGGCTCACCTGAGGACACAGGCTCACCTGAGGACACAGGCTCACCTGAGGGACACACTCACCTGAAGGACACGCTCACCTGATGGACAGGATCACCTGAGGGACCAGGCTCACCTGAGGTGCCAGGCTCGCCTGAGGGATAGGCTCACCTGAGGGACAGGCTCACCTGAGGGACACGCTCACCTGAGGGATACACTTACCTGAGGGCACAGGCTTACCTGAGGACACAGGCTCACCTGAGGGCCAGGCTCACCTGAGGGACATGTTCACCTGAGGGACATGTTCACCTGAGGGACCAGGCTCACCTGAGGGGCCAGGCTCACCTGAGGGCCTTGGCTTACTTGAGGGCCAGGCTCACCTGAGGGACACACTCACCTGAGGGGCCAGGCTCACCTGAGGGCCAGGCACACCTGAGGGACATGTTCACCTGAGGGACAGGCTCACCTGAGGGGACAGGCTCACCTAAGGGGACAGGCTTACCTGAGAGCCTAGGCTTAACTATGGGGCCAGGCTCACCTGAGGGCACTGGCTCACCTGAGGGGCACTGGCTCACCTGAGGGGCACTGGCTCACCTGAGGCACAGGCTCAGCTGAGGGCCAGGCTCACCTGAGGGCCTGGCTCAGCTGTGGGGACAGGAGTACCTGTGACAGAGCTCCCCATAGCCATCAAGGGGCTGCATCACGCCAGTGGACGACTCTCCATGGGCCAGGAACAGGAGCGCTGGCTTGTGCCGGGCCAGGGCCTGAGGGAGGAGGTGACAGCCTGAGGCAGAGCCAGTGGGGCAGGGCCTCCCCGTCTGCCAGCCCCTCACGTGAGGACTGTCCTGTGAGGGCGGGATGAGGCCTGCCCTGACACTCCCGCCCACAGACGGCCCCATAGACGGCCAGATCTGGGCAGCGGGAACTGGACCCTCCTCCAGCCCCGCCTGTGCTGGCAGGGCCAGGCATCTCGGGTCTGGGAGGAGGGCTCATTCCAGGACAACGTGGTCTTTGTTCCTGAGCCTGACCCGCCAAGACCCCCTCCCTGCCCTGAGCCGGCCCAGCTGACCGGCCCCTCCCTGGGTCATTGCATCCCCTGTACCTCCTCCACCTCCTGCAGAGTGAAGTGGCCTCCAGGCGCTTTGATCATCGGGTACACGCGGGCTCCTGGGGGCAACGTGAGTGGTGAGAGTCCCCGCACACACAGGTGGGGACCAACACTGGGGACAGTGGTCATGCTGAGCAGGTGGGGCCTGTGGGGGCCGTCCACACCGGCCCAGCCGCTGCCCAGGAGAGGAGGTTGGGGTGTGCTCGGTGAATCCAGGCTCTGCGGCACGTGGATGGGAGCAGGTCCCGCGGCTCTCGGTCCCCTGCTCTGGCCACCTTCCCTGAGCCCAGTCAGGCGGGGGCACCCCTGTCCCTTGCAGCCCTCCCCACAGAGGAAGTACAGATCTGTGCAAGGCTGAGCTTCAGAGGGTGACATCAGAGGGTGACATCAGAGGTGACTTCAGAGCATGACATCAGAGGGTGACATCAGAAGTGACTTCGGAGGGTGACATCAGGGGGTGACTTCAGAGGGTGACTTTGGAGGCTGACATCAGAGGGTGACTTCAGAGGCACCACAGGGTTTGATGAAGGACTGAATGGATGAGCGAGGCCTGAGCGGGCTTTGCCCTCCTTGGGGCCTGGGGGCTCCAGGAAGGCAGGCCCTTGTGCTGCTCCCCGTCTCCTTCCCCCGCACCCCATGCACAGCAGACCCCCAGCCACATGTGCAGGAGGCAGGGAGTCCCAGGACCATCCCAGAGCCACAGCTGGGGGTGTGGGGTGAAGTGGAGGGCCCCAGGCTAGGAGGGTGCCCTGCCCAACCTGGGGTCCCTTTGAAGCCAGTGTGTAGACTGGAGGGGCCCTGGCGAGGGGCCAAGACCCCCTCAGGCTGTTAGGGTTTGTCCGTTAACCTGGACCGAATGCGGCCACATATGGAGCTGACCAGCCAGGAGCTTCACGATGTTTCCAAACCACGATCAATCATTAAACCCAAAGTACACTCGGGCTCCGACTTTTGTCTCTTTCTCTCCAGAAAATTTTACTCTGGACGCAAACTCTGTCCCTACCTCAGCATTTTGTGGCTGTAGAAACTGCTTCTGAGATTTTACGGGAGATGCAGCTTCTGGAACTTTGTCCTGTGACAGAGGTGGGGCTAGCCCCTAGAGACCTCAGAGAGCTGGGGGGTTCCAGCTCAGTCCAGGTTTGGACTGAGACCAGCGGAGACCCTGCAGTGCCGGCCCCTCCATGGGCACGGGAAACTGCTGACCCTAAGTTCTAAGAGACCAGGAGATGGGGGCCCCTGGAGCAACCTGACGTCCACTTGGAGGGGGCAGCAGGCCGGCAGGAGATGGAGGCATGAAGCGTGGGGAAGGGGGTAGGTTCCGCCTGGGGAGGGCCTGAGGTTGGTAGCTGGACCCGGGTGCTTCCAGGATTCACGCTGGGGCGGGAGGCCTCGGGGAAGGACGCAGTGAAGAGCCACCCCCCGCCCCGCCTCTTACCGATGCGCTCCGCGATGTCCTGGGCTCGCTGCCCCCAGATGCCACTGACCCCGACCAGGAAGGGGTCGCCCGGCTCCAGCAGGTTGAACAGGGCGGCCTCCAGGGCGCAGTGCCCCGAGCCGCTGATGGCCAGGGTGAGGGCGTTCCTGGTCTGGAACACGTACTGGATGCCTTGCTTGATCTCGTCCATGATCTGGGGGTGGTGGACACATGGCTCACAGCCTCCCCACTCCCGCCCCCGGGAGGAGGCCGCCCGGGGACCGAGGCTGAGTCCTCCGCGACCTACCTGGTATACCTCCTGGTGCATGTGGCCCAGCGTCTGCAGCCCCCCGGCCGCCATGACGCGGGAGGTCAGGTTGGAGGGGCCTGGCCCCAGCAGCAGCCGGCTGGGGATGGACAGCGGCTTGCTCAGGGCCGCCGGGGGGGCCACCAACAGCGAGTGGGAGGCCATAGTCCTCACCCAGCCTGCCGCCCTGTGCCCCAGGACCGCCCTGGCCGTGGTCAGTGCCCAGAGCATTTCCCAGCAGCCCCTGTGCTGGATGACCGGCTGTCTCGGCTCCACCCCCTGCCTGTGCTGTTGTCGTTGTTACCTGACCGTTATCAATGTCTGTCCTGCACGTAAAGGCCTGGCGGCAGGGTGGTGAACCCCGAGCGTCTGTCCTGCACGTAAAGGCCTGGCGGCAGGGGTGGTGAACCCCGAGCGTCTGGGGAGGAGCTGGCAAAGTCCAGTCAGCGAGAGCAGAGCAGGCTGGCCTCTGCCCTCCAGCCCTCCCCCGCTCTGTCCCCAGGGACGCCCAGCCCCGTGAGGCTGGTGGGACGCAGGTGCCCCATGTTTCGTGTATAGGATCGGAGACCCAACATTTCCAACTTGGTAGGCCTACTGGCTGTGTTAAAAGTTCTCAGCCCTGCTGTGGTGGTGAGGAAGCGGTCACGGGGTGTGGGCCCATGCCAATGACGCTTGAGTTACAGAAGGAGCCCTGGGCCAGATTCAGCCCAGGGCCACAGCTTGCTGACTCAAGCTTAGCTCTTGGAAAAACACACTTTAGAAATATATATGTCCTTTCATGTCATTCCTTTTTTGCTTCTGCATATAAGGCACGCCATACAATAGTCCTCCTTCTCCGCTTCTTACGTCACTCAGTATGACAGTCTCTAGGTTCATCCATGATGCTGCAAATGGCATTATTTCATCGTTTTTAGTGGCTGAGTGATATTCCACTGTGTGTATGCACCATGTCTTCTTTGTCCATTCATCTGTTGCTGGACATTTAGGTTGCTTCCGTGTCCTGACTTCTGTGAACAATACTGCAACGAACATTGGGTGCATGTATCCTTTCAGACCATGTTTTTCTCTGGATGTATGCCCAGGAGTGGGATTACTGGGTCACATCATAGCTCCATTTTTAAGGCACCTCCATGCTGTTTTCCATAGTAGTGTACCAATTTATATTCTGACTGCAGATACAGACTCATAGACTTAGACAACTAACTTATGCTCTCCAGGAAGGAAGGATGGGGGGCAGGGATATTTAGGGGGTTTGGGATTTACATGTGTTTGCATTCTTAGTCACTCAGCCATGTCCAACTACTTGGACATGGGAGACCCCAGGGACTGTAGCCCGCCAAGCTCCTCTGTCCATGGGATTCTCCAGGCAAGAATACTGGAGTGGGTAGTCATTCTCTTCTCCAGGGCAGCTTTCATCGAACCTGGGTCTCCTGCATTGCAGGCAGATTCTTTACCATCTGAGCCACCAGGGACGGCTGGGATTTACAAGTACACACTGCTATAATCAACTAAGCCCTCCTGTACAGCACAAGGAACTCTGCTCAATGTTACAAGGTAGCCTGGATGGGAGGGAAGTTTGGGGAGAATGCATACAGGTACGTGTGTGGCTGAGTCCTTCGCTGTCCACCTGAAACTATTACAGCATTGCTAATTGGCTATACTCCAGTATAAAACAAAAAGCTTTCTGAAAAGAAAAGAAAGAAAGAAGTGTGTGTGTTCCACGTGCACACCCGGAGCATGTGTCCTTCCTGACCCTTTGGAGTAAGCATTTCCTCTGCGAGTTGACACCAAGGGTCCTGTTGCTCGGTCTCCATGCACGCAACCAAGGGGTGCTTGCTGGGGAGTCGGCCTCTGAGTCAGTAGGCGAGCAGAATAAATGCAACCATGAGCGCCACAGGAGGGGCCAGGCCCAGGTGAGGCCGGCCTGCCCAGCAGAGCCACTGGAGTCCTGGGACGTCGGAGGAGCCCTGCACCGCGGGTGACCAGGCCAGGGCGGTGCTGACCGGGCGTCCTGAGAGTAGACCCTGCTCCGTACAGACTGCAGGGGGCGGGGTTGGAGCTTGCTGGGGGCTTCCTGTTCTGTTTCGGGATCTGACGCCGGGACTGCAGTAACCAGGGAAGGAATCCAGTTTCCTCGGAGGCTTCACGGTGGACAAGAAGGCAGCCATGCTCCCCAGGACCTGCACGTGACCTTACCCCACAGGGACTGGCTTCTCAGCTCTGCGGAGCCCCTGCGTTCAGCACTTGCTGAATGTTTGTCTGGTGCCCTGGGGTAGAGGGACTCCACAAGTTTTAGCCAGGCTGGACAGTCATGGCCTGAGCCCCCGGGGGACCTCCACAGCCCTGCTGGGGTGGGGGTACTCTGTCCCTCTGATGGACGGAGGAATAGACCGAGGGGACAGGCCCTGAGTGGTGGGCAGACAGCAACTCAGGGCAGCTGCAAGGAAGGGGCCCAGGCGCCACTGCTTAGCCTGGTCCTGTCCTGCACACGGGGGTCCAGTGGGCACCCCCTCCCTCCCCTGCTCACTTTCCTGACACCTTCCCCCATTCCTTACCAGCCTTCACTCTGGAGTGGGACCCAGTCTGGTCACTCCAACCGATGTAGCATCGCAAGAAGAGAAGGAGAAGGCCCTGCTGGTGCTGGTGGGGGGTGGGCGTGGGCAGAGGGCCTGGGCAGCCTCCTGGGAGCTGAGAGGAGAGGCCGAACAGGCCTGAGAGCCCGGAGGAGGGGACACCCACCAGGGGCTGCCAGAGGAGGGCATGGGGTCTTCCAGGCTGGGTCTCAGAAAAGGGAGAGGCGGGCCCACCCCAGGGCCTGCCAGGAGGAGTGAACCGCGGGGCCCGGGCACACAGGTCTGGGCCTGCCATGGTGTCTGGGGCCTGGTGCCGGCCTGGGCCTCCGGGGTCTCAGGCGTGTCAGCCTTGCCCAGCCTGATGCTGACCTGACCTGCCACAGGGGAAGAGCCTTCTGCCTCAGGGGATCCCAGGTCATAGCTGTGCCCACCCTGGGGGTCTCCTGCCTGCTGGGAGCAGGGGTGTCCCTGGCCCACAGGGGAGCCCCCCTTGGCTTGGCTTCTGCCCTGGCTCCTCCTCTCGGTGACCAAACCCTGTCCTGCTCAGCCCACCCTCTGCCCACCTGGATCCACTCACTGAGCCTCCCTGACCCCTGCTTCCGGAACACTGCCACCCTGACTCCAGTCTAACAGAGGCATCTGTGCCTTTGCATGTACCGTTCCCCTCCCTGGATGCTTGTCCCTGTCTTTGCATGTACTATTCCCCCTCCCTGGATGCTTGTCCCTGTGTTTGCTCAGCCCTCCTGCTCTTCTCTCTGAGCTGTAGCCAAGCCTCCCGCCCAGACAGTCTTCCTGTCTGGAGGTCCTCAGAGGCCTGTCACCTGTCGCAGGCCACACAGGTCACCCTGTCTGTGTGCAGCCTTGGGCGGGACCCCTCTATGCAGTGCTGCGGGTGCCTAGTGCAGCTCTTGGAAGCCTGGCTGGCGGGTGGGTGGGCAGGTGCAGCCTGGCCAGGTCACCACCTATGTGACAGGGGTGGGTCTCTGCCAGGAACAGGCCACTTGGAGCCTGTCCCATGGAGCAACCCTGTGGAGACGCCATGTCCGCAGCTGTTTGTTTAGTTGTGCCGTGGGAGGGGCCACAAGGCCTGGGCTCTGGACACCATCTGTCAACTCTCCCCTGCCCCTCCCTTGTCCAACTGTGCAGCTTCCTTGTGGTCAGAGCACCCTGGGCGAGGATGCCAGGCATCGAAGGGCCAGGAGCCCAGCGGAGGGCAGCGTTGGAGGAGTGGGACTGCGGGGTGCCCGGGCGCTCCATCCGCACCTTGATGGACATGGCCAGGACACCTGGGACCCCTGGTCTCACCTGTGCTCCCTGCTCTCTGGGTGCCCGGCGGGCAGCACGAGAGCAGCCCCTGGCCACAGGGTGACGGGGACATGCCAGTCACAACAGGCAGGTGGGCTCGCAGAAAAACCGTGTGTTCCGGGGGCTCCCGAGGTGCCCACTCTGTGATTCTCAGGGCCTCAGAGGGGCTCAGCCCCTTCCCCCCTAGGTCTCTGGGGTGCTGTGTCATTCATGTGACGGTGGTGACGCGGAGAGGACGTGGGCTGGGGCTCCTGCGCTGGGAGCCTCCACCTGCCCCTGAGGCGGTGCTTGGCCAGGCTGCATCCTGAGTGCGGGTCGCCTCCCAGCCCACGCCCTGGGGGCACAGTTTACCAGAAGTAAAGAGATACTTCAAGTAGCTCTTGTCATTCCGTGTTTCGGGCTAGTTCCCGCTGACATTTGGACTGAAAACCCTGTTTTTGAGAGTCAGTATATGCATTCCATGGACAGAGGAGCCTGTCGGGCCACACTCCTTAGCATCGCAGAGTCAGACACAACTGAGGCAATTGAGCACGCACACGTGTATGAGTGGCTGAGGGAGGGGATACATGCATCTGTATGGCCGGGTCCCTTTGCTGTCCATTTGAAGCTGTGACAACATTGTTAGTCAACTATACTCCAATACAAAATAAAAGTTTTTTGCTTTTTTTTTTAAAACGTTGCTTTAAGCACAGCAGAACCTTGATCTGGGGTCTGCCAGGCGCCCCCACCTTCTCACACCCCAGAATCCAGGAAGAGGCTCTTTGTGCATTGCACCCGTAGACCTCGGGAGACGGCACTCGCTGGCCTCACAAACGTCAGACCAGGGGACCCAGGCTTTGTGGTGAGCCGCAGGTAAGCGGAGCAGCGGCTCTAACCAGTTTAAAGTTCAGCGTGAGAGGAGGATTGTCAAAACCCAGGACTCAAGGTTTCCTGGAGAAGCGTGGCAAGTCCCCCGCTGGCTGGACACACACGCCTGGCATTTCCTCTCTCGAGTCACCATGGCTCCGGCGACAAGCCCTCTCTGACTGTTTCCCTTTTAACTGAAGTTGCATTTTAGATGTGAGGTACGGCGAAAGGGCTTCCCAGGTGGTGCTAGTGGTAAAGAACCCACCTGCCTAATGCAGGAGATGTAAGAGACGTGGGTTTGATCCCTGGGTTGGGACGATCCCCCCGAGGAGGGCATGGCAACCCACTCCAGTATTCTTGCCTGGAGAATCCCATGGACAAAGGAGCCTGGTGGGCTACAGTCCATGGGGTTGCAAAGAGTCAGAGACAACTGAGCGACTCAGCACACACACACAGGTGAAAGGTCACCCTGCCCCTGTGCCTGAGAGTCCAGGGGCTCACATGTCGTCAGGGACTGCACAGCCTGTCCAGTGGGTCCTCCGGAGGCCGTGAACGCAGGTCCCCAGCGGGGAGGGAGCTGCCCCAGGGCCGGTGTCCCCTGGCCCATGTCTGCCGCCCCCTCACAGTGGGCCCTGTGCCCCTCTGTGATCCTCCAGGCTGCGCATGGCCTGAGAGCACCTGCCCACAGAGGCTCGAGATGTGGAGGGGCGTCTAGGACCCCAGGCTCTCCCGTCCAGGCTCTGATCCTGCTGAACGCTGCCCATGCCCCTGCCCACCCCCCACGAAGTTGAGGAGGGGGTTGCTTGGGGGTACCTCCGAAGGCAGCCTCCCCCGCAGTCTGGGGATGACCCCTGACCTCCGGAAGGCCTCAGAGGTCAGAGTATCTGGGATCTGGGGGGACGAGCATTGGCACAATGGTGCCCACACCTGGCAAAGGGCTTGCTGCTGGCTGACGCGAGCTTTCCTCAGTGCTGGGGGAAGGGCCAGGGGGAGGGGTGCACCCGGCACTACCCTCCTGGAGTCCAGTCTGTCCTCCAGAAGAGAGAAGACCCCTGACCCTGTCCTCAGGTCCCTGGGAGCCCCACACAGGGGCTGTGAACTGACTGAGAGGGCCCCGGAGAGGAGAGGCCTGGACTCCTTCCTGGAGGAGGTGGCTTGGGGCGGGGCGCCTAGAGTTGCCTCCTCTGGGTGCCCTGAGCAGCTGCTGGCCCCGCCTGGACCACGAATCAAGGATGCACTGGCATCAGGGGCTACGGTGAGCAGGGAGACCAGAGCTGCCCAGCACACGGGTGCCAAGTACCCCAAGGCCTCTGAGCCGCAGGAGTCAGAATCTCAGGGAGTTCTCAGGCCTCTGCCAAGCCCCGGGCCAGGACAGCTGCACTCTCCTTGCTCAGGCGACCGTGGGATCCAAGCGGGAAGGTTGTCCACAAGGACTTGCTGCTCAGGGCAGGACCGCATGTGGCTCTGGGGGCTGGTCCCACTCCCCTGCCCCGTGCCTTCACGGCAGCTGGTGTCCGCAGCCCTGGGAACTCCGCCCTGGTACCGGGAAACAGGCCCGGTCCACGCAGCTCCGCGCTCTCGGGTGCTCTGGTTGGGTGCTCCTCCCCAGAGATGTGTTCTGGGCCTAACCCCGATGTCTGTGCCTCCAGCCTCTGATAGATCACTGCAGAGGTGCCAGGTAAGACGGGGCGGCACTCAGATGGGCCCCCTCCAGGGACGGGTGTCCTTACAAGGAGGGAGGTTCAGACACTCAGAGCTGGGGCCATGTGACGAGAGAGGCAGAGGTGCAGGGAGGCAGCTGCGAGCTGGAGGGGCGGGGAGGCCTCAGAGGAGCACGGCCTTGGCACTGGACGTCCGGCTCGGCCCCGGCAGAGGATGCCCCAGGTTGTGGGGTCTGCCCCAGATGCTCGGGCGTCAGGATCCCCCGGGCCTGGGGATTGCTTTTGGGATTTGCCGTCAGCAGCTGCAGGTGCCGTATGCCAGGGCACCGCTGACCGCCATGCTCAGAGCCCAACACCCTAGCTTCCTGCCGTGGGCCGTCAGCGTGGCCACACCCCGGTCGCTCCAGGCCTGGGCACAGCCCCTCCAGGGAGCATCGAGTCTCCTTCACGAGCCCTGTCCCAGCTCTACTGTCTCACACCCCTGGCTTAGCACACGCAGAAGTGGAGGCTGTTCTCTGGCCCCGGTGGGCTCTTAGCAGGCTGGCGAGACCCTCCCGGTGGGCCGCCAGCCCCAGCCAGCCCCGATCACACCCCAGCTCTTACAGAAAGAAGTCGAGAAACAGCCCGTATTCCCTGGGACTCGTGCCCACGCTCCCCCCCAAATCTGACCTCACCGAGAGCTCCCTAAACTCAGTTATTTTGGGGGCTGGTTAACACTGTCAGGGCAGCTGGGAGACAGCAAACTTGCGTCCTCCTGGGGTCTGGCCTCATCGGTCACCTAACCTCCTCGACCTGGACTGTCTCTGTGGTAGGGTGTCCGAGCACCCACCTCGCCTACATCTCGGGGATTCATGAGGCTCGAAAGACGCCATACCTGGAAGACACTTTGCCAGCTGTTGGCGTGAATCAGCTTAGCCTGGTGTGATGGAGACCCTGGGGGACTTGTCCTCAAGAATTTTCCCAAGAAAATGGATTCAGTGCCCACCTGACACGTTTTCGTTTTTAGATTTATTTATTATTTTGGCTACGCTGGGTCTTCTTGCTTTGTGGAGACGCTCCCTAGTTGCGGAGGGCAGAGGCTACTCTCCAGTCGCAGTGCGCTGGCATCTCACGGCGGTGGCGTCTCTTGTCGAGCGCGGGCTCTAGGCACGCAGGCTCAGTGGTGATGGCCCACGGGCCTTGCTCTCCCACAGCACGGGGGACCTTCCCGGACCAGAGATCGAGCCCGTGTCCCTCCATCGGCAGGCAGATTCTTAAACACTGGGCCAACGAGCAAACCCCTAGTCACCTTTTAAATTGAATTTTAAAAGATAAAAGCATTGTGTGCTCACTGTAAATAATTTTTTTAAAGGATAAAATAAATATAAAGCAAATGAAGCTGCCCTTTAAATGAAGCCTGGCGTGCTACAGTCCTTGGGGTTACAAAGAGTCAGACATGACTGAACTGAACTGAAAGCAAATGAAATGCCCTGGAAACCCTCCATTGACACCAGACCACTTTTATCCTCTCATATTCATCTTGCCAGGCTTTTTTGTACGTCACTGAGGTCATTCACTATACGTGGGTGTGTGAGTGGAGTTAACATGGAGAGCTCGTGGGTCCCTGATGGAAGAATACAGAGCAGCTCAGAGCGGCCGCTGTGTCTCACTCCCAAAACCATCTGGGCGTTCAGAGTGTCAGTCTCTCCTGTTACACGTTTTTTCTTAATGAACGGGAGAAGAAACTTAAGTTGTTTCACAGACATGAAGGGGGCAGAGAGTGGATCCTCCGAGTGTGTGTCCTGTGAGCAGGTGTGTGTGGTTCGGCAGCTAAAATCATTTACTCGGTGTTTCTAGCGTGAAGTCTTTTTGCTTCTCTCCTTGACAGGAGCTGTTTTCCACCTGCTGTGCAGTAAAGGGTTAACAGACAGGCCTGCCGGCCCCCCGCCCGCCTGCTCCGGAGGGCCGCCTGTGAGGCTGGCCCAGGACGGAGTTCCTGAGGGCCGCCTGTGCCCTTGGGGAGGAGAGGGCCTTGCCGCCCCTAAACATCTTTGCAGAATGAGGCTCCTGCCATCCAAGCACCACTTCCTCTGGGGGTCTGGAACCTTCCCCAGGCACAGGTGCCCTTGAACCAGCCCCCTAGTAAAAACTCTGGGCACTGCGTGTCTACTGGCCCCCGGGGAGATGGCACCTGCTGGCTGGTGGTGTGGATGGGTGTGTGGGGGAGCTTGGCATGTGGGTGTGGGGCGGGGCTCTGGAAGCTCAGGCCTGGTCCCTGACCTGTCCCCGCCTGCCTCTTCCTCTCACTGATGTCGCTTTGCATCCTTTTCTATGTCTTGAATTTCTGCTGAGTACTGGGGGCCCCCTAGCACACGTGGGGGTGGTCTTGGGGACCCTGACAGAGTCATATTGACTTCTTTAAGCTCAGGGACTTGAGTGTTTAACGCTGACAACTCTGCGATTAGATCTGTGTTTCGGTCCTCTGTTGGGCAGACTTCAGCCTCATTTCTTTCCGGTCATGGAGAGGTCCTGACGTTTTGAGCCTTCAATCCGTGTTTTTGTGTGTTCACCGCCCTTGACTGAGCGTCTTCTGTGTCAGTCGGATGAGAGCAAACACCCACGAACGAGATGGTGAGGAAACCCTGGGGCTCAGGGCTCCATGTGCTGGCCCAGGGCGGGGGCAGGCTCGGCGGTGGGCTGTGGCCTCAGGGAAGTCCAGGGGGCGGCAGGGAGCAGGTCCGAGGTGAGGACAGGGGGGCCGGCAGCTCTCTGAACCTGGCGGAGAGAAAGGTTAACCAGGGCCTGAGGATGGAAGGCGGAGAAGGCAGCTCCGGGAGCCGGCACCGCCAGCAAAGGAGGGCACCTTAGGGTTTATCCTAAAAACAGCGCGGACTCGTAGGTCACCTGCAGCTCTGGCTCCATGGCGAAGAAGGTGCTCTGAGAGCCAGCCAGGGGAGAGGTGCTCCCTGTGACCTCCTGTGTCTGCAGGGCAGCGGGTCCCTGTGTGAGTGAGCTTCAGGACCCTCAGACTTTCTGTGGCTGGGGGGACCTGCATTTCTGGCCGGAGAGGCTCCGCGGCGAGCCCAAGGCGGCCAGCAATCCCAGAGGACCCGCAGGACAGGGAGGCTCAGAGCAGGTGGGCCGAGGTCAGAGGTCACCTGGCTGTGAACGCCTGCGCTTGGGCCCCGTCCTGCGAGCCTCCAGCCTGGGGCTGGGACAGCGGAGGTGAGGCGGTAGGCCTGGCCCGCGGGGAACAGCGACACCAGGATGGAGGGGAGGAGACTGCAGGAAGGTCTAAAGAGGACGGGCCCCTTGCCCAAATCCCGCCCAGGGACGGGTCTGCTGGTGAGGGGGCGAGCCCTGTGGAGGGGCTGGACACCCACCCTCCTGGACAGCCGCATCCGTGCAGTCTGCGGGCCGTGCGCAGGCTGTGACAGAGACGTGCAGGACGGTCACAAATTTAAATGTCTCCAACCTGAGTCACGGCGGAAACCCGGCAAACTGACCCTGAAATCAGACTCCTGGAACCTGGCTCCCACGAGCACCCTGGGCACACCGCCGTCCACATCTTCGAGGCCTCATTTCTTTGATCTGGGCCCCCCAGCCCCCACGTTCTCTCGTCGAATTTTCCCTGTGTCAAAGCAAACTCCAGACCTCTTGTGATTTCACCCAAATCTCCAAATGTGCACCTAAAAAATGGACATTTTCCTACCGAGCATGATGCCATTATTATATTTAATGTCACCTGTCTGGAGACAAATTTAACCTACTGTCCATAGAGGACTTTTCAAAGGTGGTTTGCTTGAGCTGGGATTGAGACTGGGTCCCGGCATCGCATGCTGCTGGTTCAAGTCTATTTTGATGGCTCAGTGTCTCTCAAGCCTCGGTGGAAAAGGCCTCAGTGGGAAGCTTGTCTACAAGCGGCTCCTAACTCAGGGGGCCAGGGTGGGGCCCGACACTCTGCATGCATGAAAACTCTGTGTGGGGAAGAGTTCTGCGTCTCCAGGCCTTGGCGGGTTGCCCCCTGTCCCCAGGCAACCTGGTGGCTTCCGCTGCCTGAATCTCTCTCATTCATACGCACCCCAGACCCCCAGGGCACGGACTTCCTGCCCCAGGAGCCTCTGGGCAGAGGGGAGGGACAAAGGGGGCCGGGCAGGAGGCTCACCTTTCCCCAGGGTCTGAGGTTTCACCCCGTGAGGCGCGGGGTCACCTGGTTTCCTGGTGGGAAAGCTGAGACTGCCCTGCACTCCAGGTCAGCAGTGGTCCCTTCCTCGGGTTCCTTCCCTGGGACCCCAGCTCAGACCTTCATCCAGTCTTGGGGAAACACTAGGGTCCAGCTCCCAACCTGGACACACCCCTCCTCTGCCTGGCCCTGGGGCTTCTGGGAAGGCCAACAATTCTCTCTGCGCTACCCGGCCCTAGACCCCCTAGACCGGAAGGGTGGCAGGAAGGAAGACTGAGGTGCCAGCCTTCTGCTGACCTCCCTCCGCTCTCCTGCCCCCCGCCAGAGGTGAGTGTGGGGCGGCCAAGCTCCTGGGACTCCCGCCCTGGCCCGGAAAGCTGCAGACCAGGCTGGGGGAGGTGTCGGGGCAGCAGTGGGACCCCGAGAGGCTGCCCACGCTTACGGTCCCGTCCCTCCGGGAGCAGAGGTGGGGGGGGCCTGGGGGGATGGGGCTCCTCCTCTGCCAGGTCCTTCTGAGAAGGGCTGAAACCTGAAGCCCAGGCGTGGGGGATGGGCTCTGGGGTGGGCTCTGGGGTTGCCTGTCCTCACTTCTCAGCACTTCACTCAGCCGAGCCCGGCACCCCTCGAGAAAAGCAAGATCTTTATGGATTAGGATCCTGAGGCTCGGAACAGGGACCTGACCTCCCCAAGGCAGTTACATTACAGTGGGGAAGCATGCAGGGATGGGGAGGCAGCCGGGCTGGCCCAGAGGAGAAACATCCACCCACACTCTGGCCAGGTGGGCCTGCGAGGAGGCAAACGCTGGGGCATTCTAGGGGAGGGCTTGCCATCCGGGCCGCGGCCTGGATCTCCCCTGGAGGCGGGCAGGCCCTCCTCTGGCACCCCCAGCTCTGCCAAGGCCCTGGTCCTCGTGTAGGGGGTGTGCTGGGCCAGGTCAGGGCAGCTCCCCTGTCCACCCCCGCTCCCCGGCAGGCGGGACTGGGTGCAGCGGCTTGTGGACGACTGGCCCCGGGGTGCTCTGCTGACGGCAGAGCCACATGGCACCTTTCTAGGTGCCGTCTGCTTCTTCCTCTCCCTGCCCCGCGCCCAGAATGTGGCTCAGGCCACGAGGCCACTGGCCTCTCTCTCCCTGCCGCCCCGCCCCAGGGAGCGCGCTGTCCCCTGGGAGATGCCAGGTGCTCGGCTGCCTCGCTCACTGCTGCCCGAGACCCCCTGCACACGGCCCCCTCCAGGTCACCCATTTTCCCAGAGAGTGCCTCTCAGGTGGGGGCAACTGGGAGCCCATGGCCGCTCCGTGAGCAGGCCTGAGTGGACCGGAGACACCGAGTCTCAGGGTGGAAGGACCCTGACCGCAGACCACTCCTGGTGAGTGCTCAGGAAGCAGCAGCCTCGCGGGGTGCAGGCTGGCCTCTGGCTCCCTCCCTCTGCTCCTGAAAAACAGATGAGCAAGGGACCGATCCCCAAACTCCTTCCTCCAAGGTCAGCCTCTCTTCTGCCAAGATCTAAGAAAAGATCTCATTTCAGCCACTTTGCTGCCAATTTTGTTTCTGCGATGTCATCTTCTGACCTCCGGGCGGGAGGAAACCCTCTGTGAGCTGCGATTTCTCGGGCTGAAGCCCCTCTGCTGGAGACAGCCAAGCCCCATTGCCAGAATCCCGTCTACAGGGTCGTCTGCACCAAAGTGGTCCCGGATGATTGATGGATTCTCTAGAAAAATAAGAAGCACATCTTCATATGGAGAGAAACACAAATTCAAGGAGGAGAAAAAACAGACAGGAAGATACCGACACCAAAAAGTGCGGAGATGAAGGACCTCTGAGTACAGAAACTCTGGGAACTTAACTGAAGGGATCGGTAGAAGCGCCTAATTAGGGCAGGGCTCCTGGGAGCCAGTGTGGAGCGCGGACGGACCACTGGACGGCCACTGGCAGAAGGTCGTCTGGACGAGCTCGGGGACGTTCTGGCGGTGACCGCTGTGGCTGTGGAGCCGATGGAGGAAGTGGTATAGGATGGTATAAACCATACTTCAGCGGGACAGAAGCCGCTGCAGACGCAGCTGCCCAAAGCGTGGTTCTCAGCCTGGCTGCACCCGGGAGTCAGCTGGGCGAGCCTGTCAACCAGCCTGGGGCCGACGCCTTCACGGCCACCCTGATCCAGTCGGCTCTGTGAGTCTCGGGCCGGCTCCCGGGGGTCTAAGTGCAGCCGTGGGTGAGGCCCACGATCGTAGGGTGTCACCACAGAGTGTCAGACATCAGCAGAGCCACACCCTGTGGGTCACCCCAGCCAGGGCTCAGTGAGGGCTCACTGCGGCTGGCTCGAGCAGAAAGGGGTGCATCACGGAGTGCTGGTCACCGTTCCTGACCATCAGGACCTTCTCAAATCTCCAGGAATGACCCAAAGCCATGTGGCTGACCTGGGCCACCCAGGAAGGGTCACCAGCCACAGCAGTCTCTACCTTTAAAACCCTCATGAGCTCACAGGGTCGGCAGAGCTCATATCACAGCAAGGGCCACACTGCTGGGCTGCCCTGGTGGCTGAGACGGCAAAGAGTCTGCCTGCAGTGCGGGAGGGGAGGTCCGACCCCTGAGTCAGGAAGACGCCCTGGAGGGGGGCATGGCAACCCACTCCAGTGTTCTCGCCAGGAGGATCCCATGGACGGGGAGCCTGGCGGGCTGCAGTCCTTGGGGTCGCAAACAGTCAGACAGGACTGAGCGACTAAACAACAGCAGCATTGTGGATGCATATACACAATCCTTTGTGTATGTTATAAGCATTTTCTCCTGGTTGAATCTTTTTTTTTTTAAATTTAACTCTGACTATGGCTAATTTTGTGACATTCAAGCTCTAGATTTTGAGGTGGCCCCATCTGTCAGGTTTGTCTTCTATGGTCTGTGGATTCCTTATGTTCTGGAAAGGTCTTCCATAGCCCAAAGAAATGAAAAATAGCATTTGTATTTCTTTGTGGGACAAAAATAACCAGAAGTTGTGGTTCTTATTTTAGGTTTTGAGTCCATCTGGGACTCTGTGTATGTGCAGACAGGAAGACACCTTATTTTCTCCCCCAAATGGACCCTTTACTCAACAAACGCGGTTCAGAAGACAGACCAACTGTTCCCTGTTTGTTTGACGTGCGACCTTATCACAAGCTAAATTCATTTATATCTGTTTTGTTTCATTTATCTGTTTGTCAGCTGTTTGACTTATCTTTTGCCAGTATTGAATTATCATTATTATAGCTGTTGAGTTCCCAGAAGGTAGATCAATTTCCCTTAGCAGTTTTTCTTTTGCTTATTTTAATTTTTTCTTGCTATTCACTCTTATTGACTTTGCCTAGATTAACTTGAGGATGATTTTACCTTCCTAAAATATTCCTATGATTTTTATAGAAATTACATTAAATTTATAATACTCAGTCTTTCCTTTTAGGAAAGTATTCTATCTTTCAATTACTCATATAAATTTAATATCTTCAATAACCTTTTTTGTTTTTTTTAATAAAGAACTTGTCCATTTATTAATATATTCTTAGGAACTGATAAGTTTTTGTTGCTGTTGTGACTGGAACCTGTCTTCCATTACATGTTTATGTTTTTAAATGTTTTGAGAGGTTTCAAAACCCTTGTGCCCACCACTAGATTTAACAAATGTTAACATTTTCCTCCTTTTGCCTCAGATCCTGTTTTTTAAAACAATAAAATGTACTGATGCCTACAGTAACCAAGACAGTGTGGTACTGGAAAAAGAAAAGACTAATTAATTAATGCAACACAACAGAGTGTTTAAATATGGACCCAAAATACACGGTCAGCGGTTTCTGTCTAGGGCCAGTGTGGCTCACCAGGGAGAGGAAGGGTCAGTGAGTGGTGCTTGGACCACCGGATATCATTTCAAGCTGCAACATGAACCTAAAGTTAAAAGCAAAAACAACAAACAGGTAAAAGCTCCAAGCAAACACAGGAACACAGGAGGAAACACTCACAGATGTCATAGACTGACTACACACACACAAAGATAAACAGAACTTCATAAAGACTAAACACTTCTCGTCAAAAACATCCTCAAGAAAATAAATAGGCCAATCACAAACTGGTAGAAAATATTTGAGGCGCACACGGTTGACCAACGAGTTGCATCCATGTTACGTAAAGAATCCTGCAACTTAATAATAGAGAAATATCCAACTGTTTCTTAATGAGCAAAGACTTGAACCAACTTCTGACACACACACATGAAAATATACAAGTGGTCAATAAACACATGAAAAATTCTTATGATTAGTCAAGAAGGAACTATCAAGGAACATAGGATGGCTAAAATTAAAAAGGCTGACACTACCAAATGTCGGCAAGGCTGTGAGGTAAGTGGAACCTCCTACACTACTGACGGGAATGAAAATTTTTACTGCAGTTTCTTGGAAAGTGTATACACACACACACACACACACACACACATTTTTTCCTATGACTCAGCATTTCCCTTTAGATTCAAGAGAAACTAAAAATATATGTCCTCTCCAAAGCCTTGTACAAGAATGTTCAGGCTTTATTAATAATAGTCAGAGACTAGAAACTCAGATGTTCGTCAGCAGGACTCTGGCAAACAAACTTCTGAATAGCTATGGACGGGATCCCCACTCAACCGTGACAAGAGAGAGTCTGCTGATATCTTAACAGCGTGGGTGAAGCTCAGAAATACTGTGCTAGAACCATCCAGACATGGAAGAGTACGATTCTATTTACTGAGATTCTCAAATCAGCAAAGGAACCTCTGACACTAGATATCAGCTCCAAGGTCGAATCTGGGGCGGGGAATGGACTGGGAGGGACACGTGAGAACCCCTGGGAGTGGCGGGAAGGGGCCTGGCTTGCTGAGTCGAAACTGAAATCAACTGGCACACATCCGAGCATTCACTGTGTGTAATTCACACCTCATTAATGACCAAAGCCATGAATATCTCACAGACAGTCGAAGATTCTAATGACCCTTCCCTAAGTCCAGTCTCCTTCCTCCCTCCCCAGAGAAACCCAACTCCAAGGTCAGTAAAACTAAATGCACGCCTCCATAATTTTACTATACCTGTAAGGATGGTAAACAATAGTTAAAAGTCTTGTGTAGACAAACGCACTTGGTAGACACTGGCCGTTTGCCTCTTTGACCCAGCGTGTTTGGGGGTTGATCCATGCAACTGTACATAGATCTGGTCCATTCATCCTGACTGCGGTAGCACTTAGTATGGGAGCACAGCATACATCATTTATCCACTCATCCACTGGTGGACTCAGGGGCTTCTCATTTTGGGGTGTTGAGCAATTCTGTGATGACTGTTCTTGTGTGTGTCCTCTGGCCGTGTGCTGGGGTAACACCCCGAGTGTCATCATTCACCTTCCAAACCATGGCCCCTGAGCAGGGTGGCAGGCGGCCTGGCCCCCTGGGGGTGCCCAGACTGGGTGCTCGTAGATCTGAAGGTGGGTGCTGTTATTACTGCCGTGACTGTGACTTTTGGTTGAGCACCTTTTCAAGTGTTTGCTGTGCCTGCTGGTCATCTGGTATTCTCCATGAGACTCCTTCTCACCCCTGTGTTTGCTCACATTCACAGCTGGAACTTTTTCTGGTTGATTTGCCATTTGGCCACCTTGTGAAATTCCTTGTCTGTTTTCTTAAATTTTCTAAGTAGTAAAAATATCTCATCTGAAAAATGTAACTTTCTTGTTTTCCACACTTAGATCTGGCATTTGTTTTCTCTTGTCCTCACATGGAATAGAAGAATCATAATAATACTGAACTTCAACAGCAACACCATCCATCCTTGTTTGATTTTTAAACTTTTTGGAAATACATTGAGTTGTTCCTCCCAATATTTATTTGTTCAGCCATTCATCAAATATTTTTTGGCCGGTACTTCCTGCCAGGCACTGTTCTTGATTCTGGGTGCACAATCATGAACAAGGCAAATGAGATCCTCGACCATGGAAGAAGAGAGGAAGTAAACAAGAAAATAAATAAAACAATTGCAATATACAGTAGAACTATATGTGACTTTGTTCTCTATTTTCCAAGTCTCCTGTAAACATGTTATCATATTTGCATAATTTAAAAAAGAAAAAAATAAAACAAGTTCATGGACAAGTAACTATCACATTGAAGATAGAGTAGGGAACCATGTTTGATGTGCTTCCCAGGTGGCCCAGTGGTAGAGAATCTGCCTGCTAATGCTGGAGATGTAAGAGACATGGGTTTGACCCCTGGGTTGGAGAGATCCTCAGGAGTAGGAAATGGCATCCCACTCCAGTATTCTTGCTTGGGGAATCCTGCGGACAGAGGAGCCTGGTGGGCTAACAGTCCACGGGGTCACAGAGAGGTGGAAGCGGCCAAGTAACCGAGCACGCATGTACCACGTGTGAGAGCTATGGAGGCTATGTTTGATGTTAAGATTTTATTTATTTCTTTTTGAGGTTAGGAAGATTCATGCTATTCTGAGTTTAAGAGTGTATGTCAGGAGTAACTGTTGAATTTTATCAAATGTATTTTTAGCATTGATCAATGTAACATGATTTTTCCTATTCTATACTATTAACGCAATGAATTTCACTGTAAGATTTCCGAATGTTGAACCATCCTTTCATTCTTGGAACAAATTCCACATGGTCAAGACAACTGTACTATTCAACCCCACTTAGGAGTTCTGCGTTTACATTAGAAGCGATATTAGTCTTCAGTTTCCCTTCCGCACTGCTGTCAGCGTCAATCTCAGGACTATGCTACCTTCAGAGAACAAACCACGGATCGTGCCCTGTTTTTTCCTGCTTTAGATCATTTTAAATAACACATATGATGTTCCTGAGGGAGCTGGGAGGACTTGCCCCTGGAACAGGCCCTGATGCCCGAGCCTGTGCGAGGGAAGTCAGATCGTTTACTGCATCTGTGCTCCCCCGGTGTGACTGGACCACTCAGGGCTTCCCTCCCTGTGTCTCATCCGCTCTGGCTGCTGAAACAGAGCACCGTAGGCTGGAGGCTTGTAAACAACAGGCACTTACTTCTCATGCTTGTGGAGGCTAGAAGTCCACGGCCAAAGTGCCAGCAGATCTGCTGTCTGGTGAGGTCTGTCTCCGGTTCACAGACGCCCAACCGCTCCCGTGTCCTCACGTGCTGGGAGGTGGAAGGGGGCCCCTGAGGTCTCTCTTCTAGGGGCACTAACCCCCTTTGTGAGGGCTGTACCTTCTGGACACAATCACTTGCTCAAGGCCCCACCTCCTAATATCACCACATGTGGTGCTTACAATTCCAACATATGAATTTGTTGGGCATAAACATCCAGTCTATAATGCCTTATGAGAAAGTCTTGGTAATATTTTCTTAGAAAGCTATCAATTTTATTTAGATTTTCACTTTTTATATAAATGTTGCATTTTAAGCATTTTTTCTGTAGTTATAGTCTCCTCATTTTCAAAGAACCAGGCATTTTTTTCTTTCTAAAAATTATTTATTTTCTATTTCATAACTTCAGGTTTTGCCTTAACTTCTTGTTTGCACTCTGTTGAATTTTGTTGTTGTTACTCATTGTCTGGGCTTCCCCCGTGACTCACTGGAAAACAAATTCACCTGCAGTGCAGGAGATGCAGCTTTGATCCTGGGTCGGGAGGGTCTCCTGGAGGAGGAAATGGTAAGGCACTCTAGCGTTCTTGCCTGGAGAACTCCGCGGATCCTGGCAGGCTACAGTCTGCGGGGTCCCAGAGCTAGACACGAGTCAGCGACTAAGCACAGCACAGCACACCTGGGATTGGTGAGGATTCCAGCAGGAAGCTCTCTGGGGCGGCCGCAGCAGACAGTTCACGAAGGGCTGTTTATTCTGGTTGGGGCAGGGCTAGCGACCCCCCGAGGGAGGGAGCCCCAGGAGTCAGTGGCCTTGGGAGTCTTTGCCAGTCCCAAGGGCACAGGGAGGTTCCACACCAGAACCTGGTGAGGGAACCAGAGTCCTCGGCACGGGTGGCAGTCCCAAGTGGGGGTTCTGAAAAGGAGACGCTAGGGAAACCCGCCGCCACTCAGCCCACCCTCTCCTCCTGCCCTGTCACCTCCTGCGGGACCCTCCCACTGGCTGGAACCGAAGCAGAGCCCAGAGCCATCAGCCTCCAGGGAGACAGTGGGGAAGCAGGGGCTCAGGGTGCCCTGTACACCCCTGGACATAGCCACGGCACCCCTTCCCACTTGGCAGAAAGTTGCTGGGGATGGCTCTGTCTTCTCTAAGACTGCAAAGTTGTCCTGGGCAGGACAGTGTCTCCCCGCCCCCAGCCAGCATCTAGCAGCAGGCGGGACACCCTGCTCGTCTGAACCCCAGAGCACCTGCTCTAGCCCCCAGCCCCACCCTGGCTTTAGGAGCAGGCTGACAGAATCCCTGCAGTGCCGCTGGGGAGTCCCAACCTTCCCAACCCTGACCTGCGGTGGGCAGGAGGAGACCCTGATGACCAGCCCTCCTAATGAGCATCATGTCCAGGACACAGAGAGTGATCCCCTTCCTGTGCCCTGGCCCCAAAAGCCCAGACATAGCTTAGAGCCTGTGGGGTCTTTGCAGATGTGGAGAGGAGGGAAACAGTGGAGGGGCCAGAAGGGGGTGTTGGGGATTTTGATTGACCTTTAAAAGGTCAGCATTTCCTTCTGCTTCGGGTCACGGAGGGAGCGGCTGGCAGCAGCTGGCCTGTGGACGTGGTCCCACACAATGGGCTCTGGCCCAGCCTAGCCGCCCGGCTGCCAGCTGCTGCAGGCCAGACACTGAGTCAGCAGCTTGCCATCAGCGCACCACGCATAGCACCCACAGAGCTGTCCACACGCAGGGCAGGTCCCCCCCGGGCCTCTCAAGCCCGAAGCCCAGGGGCCCCGCTGGCCTCCTCTCCCACGGGGTTCGGGTCCCCCAGCTCTGCTCCGGGTTCAAGGCCTGGGACTCAGCACTGCCTCTCTCTTGCAGGTCGGTTCCCTTTTTCATAAAGTCTGATGACACCGAGCCCATGATCAGTGGTGACGCGGGGTTGAGGATGCAGGGTGCAGGGGCGTTCCTGCAGATTCAGGCTCCTGGGCCACACCTCAGCCCTGCCCCCGTTCCCGGGGAGTAGCTCATGGGGCCGGCTAAGCAGAGCCTCCATTAACAATGCCGGGCATGGGCGGTCATCCTATAAGCCTGCTTCCTCCCACCCCCTCAGGGGCTGCCTGGCCTCCAAGAAGCTACTGCAGTCGTGGAAAGAGTGCTCAGTCAGGGGTCTGGCTCAGGCTGACCACAGGCACCCGGAACCTTCAGGGCCTTTCCAAGTCTCTCAGCCTCAGTTTCTTCATCTGCAAAATGGGGTTGACAAGTGTGCCTCCCTGTGCAAAGGGGCCTGTGTGGAAGGAGCTCAGACATTCATAGATATTCATAAAGACACACTTTGCAAGTTCTGCATTGTGGCACAAAGGCTAGCCGGGCCCAGGTCACTCGCGCCCGGAATGGTGTCGGAATGTGGGCCTGATACTCTGCCTGGCTGCCAGGCTGTGTCCGCGTGTGCTCAGCCTCGGGCCGCCCTGGGGTCAGCCTGCTGGAGAGTCCAGCCCTGGGACTGCAGTCTCCGCCGGTTCTGGACCCCAGCACCCTGCCTGTGCTGAGCGTGCGGCAGGGTCTCTGCAGGGCCTCTCCCGGCACCCAGGCCAGTGGCCGTTGTCTGGTCTCTACCCCGTCCCAGCAGCCCGGCGGGTCACGCGGCAGTCCTGTCTGCACCGTCGCTGAGTTCCCTGGGTGCTGGCACGGGTGTTGCCACCAGCCTGGGGGGTCTGTCGTGTTCTCCTGCCTGGGACGCACCAGGCAGCCTGATTCTCAGACAGTTTACACACGAGTGTGGACATGCTGGCTTGCTCTTCACTGAACCCCAAGGAGGGCAATGGGTCCACTTTAAACACAACTACATGAGACCCTCTGAGGATGAAGCAAGTGAGAGCTCTGAGGGGGGAGACGTTCCAGCCCAGAGTGGGGATGGCGGAAGGCTGCGTGGAGGGGCTTCCAGATGGGACCCTGGAGGATGGGAAGGCTGCAGAAACTGAAGAGAGGGCGTGACTTCGGGTGGGCTGTGGTGGAGCGGAGCAGAGGTCTCCAGGGGATCAAAGGCGGCCAGGTGGGCTTCCGCCGGATAGGAGCACTCTGTGGACACAGGATGCACGGTCCAGATCCGGGAAACCGACACACAGGTCACCTTGGGGCAGGACACACTGGAGCCACGGCTGGGAAGAAAACGGTCCTGGCTGGACAGGCAGGATCCTGCCTGGACACCAGCCTGTTGACTTGGAGCAAGTCTTTCCCTTTCTGGCCTCAGTTTACCTCTCGCTGACTCCATGGACATGAGTTTGGGTAAGCTCAGGGAGTTGGTGATGGACAGGGAGGCCTGACGTTCTGCAGTCCATGGGGTAACAAAGAGTCGGACACGACTGAGCGACTGAACTGAACTGAAAATGCCGCTAAGGGCCTTGCGGCGTTGGATCTGGAACCCCACACGACGCAGCTGGAGCCCACAGAGCCCCCCGCGAACTGGCCTCACCTCCGCGTCTGGCTCGGTACCCCGAGGGCCCTCTCGTCTCAGGAGCAACAGCATCTGCATCCGCGGGGATGCCTGCTCCGCTCCCAGTGTCAGGCCGGACACGCCCCACCGTTGCTGTGGCAACCGCGTTCCCCTGCGGCACGCAAAGCCCGGAACTCGGCCGCGGGGCGGGGGGGGGGGGGGGTTGCCAAGGCAACCAGACAGCACCTCCAATGGGCTGGCCTCCAGTGAGCAGGGCCTCCAGTGGGGCGGGGTCTCGAGGGCCTGGACCGTAAGAACAGCAGATGCTCTGTGGTCCTCGCGGGGCACAGGGCTTGGGTAGACGAGGGCTGGGTTAAGACAGTGCTGCAGTTCAAATTCCACGTGTCCTCTCAAACTCCTCCTGGGTTCCCACCTAGCTCCATAGCCGCACATCCCACCAACCGCCCCTACTGTGGCTTCTTTTCAGGCAACTTGCCTTTTGACTCCCATCATTCATTCATTCATTGTCTCTGGTTTCTGCAGATTTGGTCTTCTTTTTCCTATTTGGGATCATATTGATTCCTCACTAAGCACTTCTAGCTACAGTTCTGGAAAAGTCTAAGCCAGTACTTCTGCAAATATTGTTTCAATAATCTATTCCTCCTTCTGAAATTTCAGGGATCCTTCTCAAGCACAGGTCACAGGCTCTACCTAGCTCCCTGCTTCCACAGCCCCACTACCAACTCTTGGCTTTTCTGCTGAGCCATGACTTCACCTAGATTTTGGTTACTCACCAGGCAGGAGCCCCGGCCCAACCCTTTTCTTCCCAACTTTGCTCAGAAGACTCACGTAGGTTCAGGCCCCGTGTTGGACAGTCATTTTACTGACCTTCCATCCTGCCCACAGAGCCCCTTCAGCTGGACCCCTCATCCACCTAACTCAGCTGGTCCCCTCCGCCCCTGCCCAGTTGCTGTCCACACATTGCCATCCCCGCCCACTGTAGCGGCTCACCTTGGTAGCCACCACCACAGTTTGTAGTTCCCTTTTGGTTTGTGACACCTCGGTTTTCTTTCCTCTTTGCAAGGACTTGTTTTCTGTATTTTGAATTTTGTGATTTCTTTTTTTCTACAACATTCTTATGAGGCTAAGCCATTTAAAATGACTATTTTTCGTGATCAAAAATAGTTGAGCATCAGCAATTTTACATAACAATGTAGTATTTGGATGGACTGGGGTCTTTCTATGTTTCTCAGCCTTATGGAAGTCTACAGCTTTGATAAGATTTTTTAAAACTTAAACAATTTAATGTAGTATTTATTAGTATTGCAAATGGCACCCAAAAAAGTGAAAACTGAAAATGGGTCTTAATGTCTACTCTTAGGTAGTGCCATTGACCTACAAAAATATACCTGAATATGATGAGAGCATTAAAACTACACATACAGGAATATATATATGAATGTATCCTTGGCTTCCCTCCCCAACAGTAGCCTCCACCATGGCAAACACTGCTAACAGTTTCTTATGATTGGTGGGGTATATTATGCACACTCTCCTGTGCTTCTTTTAAATAATTTAGCAAACATCTTGCTGATCTTTCCACTTCAGCGCATAACTTTTAAGACTCATTCTTTTCAGTAGCATCAGAGAAATCTCTCCTGTTCACCCTGATGCATTTAGCCATGCCCATGGGTGAGCCCCTTGCTTATCTTGTTTCTTGGGGGGAATTTTCATATGTAGATACCATAGGCAAATTTCTGGCCATGGGATTACTGAATCAAGGAGAGGGGCACCTTAAATGCAGACACATTCAGGGAAATCACACAGCTGGTGCCAACCACAGCCACAGCGCAGACGGCTCATCTCCCCAGCCCCTCACCACACAAGTGCCGCCCAACATTTACGTTTGGGACAGCGCACTAGGTCAGAAGAAATATCGCACTGTTTTGACCTGCATTTCTTTGAGTATGACTCTCTTCGCTTATTGAACGATTTTCCTTCTGTAGCGTCCCTTCCTCCCCTCATAGTTCCTGGCCATTCTCTGGTGGTTACTTGCAATTTCTGCTATTAGTTTATAAAAGCTTTTTACTCCTTTAGGAAATCTCTTTCATTGTCATATGTTTTGAAATATTTTTCCAGGGTGGGGTTGGTCTCTTGGCTTTGTTTATGATGTTTGGGCCATGTAGATGTTTGTTTTTTTTAAACTGTTGTTTTTATTAGTTGATGCTTAATTTTTATATAGTCTTTCTGTCTTCTTTGGAGCAATCAGCGTATGTATCCTGATTTCTGCACACCGAGATGCTGATGCATCCATTCACACTGCATTCTAGTCTCCTAAAATGTCATTGTTACAGATAAATGTTTACCTCGTTGGAAATTTACCTTGATGTTGTGTCAAGAGGGATCCAATTTTATGTATTTCCCATATTATCCTGCACCAGTTATAAAAATCATCTATTTTCTTCAAGTTTTTTGAAATGGTGCCCTTATCATAAACTTTTGATCTATTTCCTTTAATACTGTCATCTTTTTAATTATTAGAATTTCATGCTATGTCTTAATGTCTAATTGGGCAAATCCTCTTCACTCTTTTTCTTCCTAACAAACTTCCTCACTAGTCTTTCACGTTTGCTTTTTATTTAGCTTGAGATGGCAACAGATGTGTAGTTTTAATTTAGGAAAACTGACCTGCCCTCTTAGCACAGCAGGCAGTGCAGCAGTCTCATAATTTATGGAAAACTGGACCTTAAACAATATAATTCTTCCTTTCCAAGAGTATACAATGCTTTTCCATTAATTGATCTCTTTTCATGGATTTTCAAAGCTTTCCTATATACTTTCTTTATAAACAAGAAGTCTGCACATTTCCTGTTATTTCTGGGCATTTTACCTTCCTTAGTACTGTTGTGATTGGATTCCTCCATTATAAGCTCTAACTGGTTATGGTGTGTTTTTATGGAAACTTCTCTTCTTGGTGATAATTTTTCTTACCATCCCATTAACATACTGTTTCCCATAGCTTTTCACTCATCCCTGAAATTTTCTTGGTAGAGAATTACATCATCTGCAAATATTGATAATTTTGTTTCTTTTTTTGCTTCAATGTTTTAAACTTTTTTCCTCCTTTATAGTTGCATTGGCTGATACTTCTAAATAAACCAGAGACAACAGTGCACATCCCTCTTTAAATGGCAATGCTCTTGCTGCTTCACCATTACAGCTACTGTTTGTATTGGGCTTGCTATCTGCCCAGCCCCGGACCCAGCCCTGCACACACGAATCCTCACCACTGCCTTTTGAGGTTGGCACTGTTCTTATCCCACCTGCAGGAGAGGGGACAGACACAGGCGCTGGTGAACTTGCCTGGAGTCACACAGCTGATGAAGGATGAAGCCAGACACTAATCCTGGCTAGACTCTGATCCCCCAAGACTCTGAGGGGCTGCTTTTCCTCAAGTGAAAGAAGAAGGCATCTTTTCCCCAAAGGGTGTAATTACTTGCTTTTTAACCAAAAAGTGGGTGGCCCTTTGGTCAAAAGCCTTTCAACATTTACTAAAATAATCCTATTTCTTTTTATCCTCTGACTCACTAGAATGGTAGGTTATACTGACGGAGTCCTTAATACTGAACCATCCTTGCATTCCAGAAAATTTAGTCAAGGTATAGGATCATTTTACTGTTATTTAGATTGCAAGCTGGGTGTGGCTCCCAGTCTCTGAGGGTGGCCTCCTTTCTACAATGCAATGAGGTGAAAGCAAGGAGATTTGTTATGCTGTGGACATTTCTGATACACGGGTCTGATCATTTCAAAACCTGCCTGCAGGAAGGAAGAAGAGCCGCAACCTCCAGCCAGAAACAGGCAGACTCCTTGACCTTTATTCTGAACCTGCCAAATTTACCTGGTGCAGCCAAGTAAGTAAATATTTTAAAAAGAAATATTCAGATCTGAAGGAAATGAAAACATGGCTCATCCAAATTTTGTGAGACCCAGCTGAGGCAGTACTGTAGAAGGAATTCTGTGGCTTTAAAAAGGTCAGAAATTTAGAAGGTTTACAAAGCTATGGTTTAAAGGTTCAAAGCAGTAGATATAAGAATATTCTAAAATCTCAGTGAAATGGATTAATTCCTAGAAACATGCCAGATTTAGCTCAAGAAATAGAGCACTTGACCAGAGGGATAAGTATGAAACAGAACGATAAAAGATTCACCTCTTTGGGGCCCACATAGTTCTGCTGTTTCCACCAAAAATTTGAAAGAACAATAATTCCTCTTTTATGCAGGTAGTTCCAGGAAACAGAGGATCTCTGGGGCTTTGAGGGTAGGGTGGTTGTATGTGGCTGAGACCTTGCCACTTCCAAGGCCCAGGCCCCACGGGCGCTGCACGTGGAGGTGAAGGATTTCACTTACACGCCGGGTGAGGATTAAATAGTTAACCGAGCAAACCCTTGGGGTAGCGCCTGGCACCGGCTGGACGCGGCAGAGGCTTGGCCCTGGGGATGAAGGGTGCAGGCGCCAGGGGCTGCGTGGGCAGGGGCGGCATGACGTCACCGCAGTTCCGGTGGGTGAGCTGGCCGGAGGCTTTGTCAAAACTGCCCAGCGGTGGGGCTGCGGATGGAGGTCGGTGGCACGCAGAGATGCCAGCCGTCCCTGGTGACCTGCTTTCCGGCTGGGGGGCTGACGAAGGCTGGGGTTTGCCGGTGTGGACCGAGGGCCGCCAGTGACTTGGTCTCAGGGAGCTGAGCTGGAGAAACAGGGTGTGGGGACCGGGGCGTGGGGGCGAGAGGATGGTGGGGGTCTCCCCCCCCGAGGCATGCCGGGAGGAGAGGCGGCAGGCCCGCTGGCCGGCCGGTTGCATCATCCCCGCGCTGAGGGCTGTCTGCGATGCTCTGGCCAAATGCCAGGAGCGATCGAAAAACCCACCTGTTACACCTCGGAGTCAGTGTCCCCACACCCCTTACACCCCCACGCCCCCTCCCCGAGCGAGGAGCCCACCCGAGTTTGTCTCTCTGCATCGACGCGTTTGTGCTGCCGGCATCGCGGGTGGGGCAGGTGGGGATTTAGTGGTTTCACGCGAAAGGGCTCCGAGCTGGGGAGGGCCAGGCGCGCTGGGTACGCGGGCAAAAGCAGGTGGGTGGTCGCGGGGACTCGGGGTTGCCCAGTGAGCTGGGGTTGCGCTAGAGGAGGGGGCGGCGCGTCCCGGCTGCGCTGCCGGGCCCCCACCTCCCCACCAGGGCACCGCCCGTCAGCGGTGATGTCACACCCAGGCCCCAGCCCCCTCTGGCCCCAGCCCCCTCCGGCCCCGCGGCGGCCGCGACGCCCGTCCCTCTCCCCGCGCGACAAACCAGCTGGCGGCTGGGGCTCGGGCGCCGCGCGCAGCCAACCAGCGCGGCGGGAGGGGCGCGGGGCGGGCCGGGCCGGGGGCCCGCAGCCGTCACGCGGTGCCGCCGTCAGAGCGCCCAGCGCAGCCGGGGAGCAGCAGCCGCTCTGCGCTCGCTCGAGACCCGCGCCCCTGCCGATGCTCATGCCGCGCCGCCGCCGCCAGTGACGCCGGAGAGGTAGGGCCGCGGCTCGCCGGGCCTCCGGGGCCGCATCCCGCACCTGCGTCCAGCGCTCCCCGGGCGGGGAGCTCGCGCCCGGAGCCCTTGGCGCGGCCCCTTCACTTCCCCCGACCCTCCCCCGTCCCTGCGGAGAACAATGGGGCAAATTCAGGGGTGTCCGCCCTTCTTGCGCAGCGAGGCACGGCCCTCTGGAGAGGCCCTTTGGTTGCGGCCCCGGCTGCAGGGGGACGCTGGTGTGGCGCAGGGGGGGTCGCTGCGGGGAGGACGCAGGCAGCTGGCAGCATCTCGATAAACCCTCCTCGTTTCCGCGATCTTCCACTCGCCCGGGCTGGAGCCGACACCCGGGATGCAGCCCGGACTGGGGCTGCACAGGCGGGGGAGGGGAGGGATGGAGCAAAGAAGAGAAAGGCGGAAGGGGCACCCGGGAGGGGGCGCGGCTGGCGCGGCCCGGCCGGAGGGGAGGGTGTCCCCGGCGGCGGGGCGCAGGCAGAGGCCCTGGTCCCCGGGGTGGGGGAGGGCGGATGCTGGAGCCGAGAGCAAAACCGGCGGGGGCTGCGGTGGGAGGGCTGGCTGCCGGCTTGGTGCGCGCCGCCGGAACTGCCCAGAGCCCAGCCCAGGTCACGTCCTTCTCTCGAGACCCCCTTCTCCCTTCCAGAAAGCCCCACGGTTTGGGAGGGCCCGCCTGCGGACAAGGCTTGCATCCACGCAGGCGGCGCCCCAGTAACAGGTGTGGCCCGGCGGCAGGAGGGGAGGGGGCTGCGGGGCCGCGACGTCTCGGCTGGAGGCGCTCTCCGGGCGCCGGGGCTCGGGTGACAGGGGCGCCGCCGCGCAGCACCTTTGGCTTGTCCTTTAAGCCGCCTCCCGCCCTAGTTCTCCCGCAAACCCAGCAGGCATCTCTCGCGCTCGGGGAGGGGCCGGGACAGCATCCCGGCGGGGAAGGAGGGTCCGCCGTCTGCCCGGCGCTGGGTGGGCGGGGGGACCGCGGGCCGCAGGGCAGGGAGGGGGAGGGAAGGAGGGAATGCCGAGTCATGGGGCCCGTCGGGCGCGGGCGCGAAGCGCGCCCACGTTCCCGGGGATGGGGGCTCTCCCGCCGAGACCCGCGGACCCCGCCCCAGGCGGCCGCCCCTCCCGGGGATGCCAGCGTTTCTCTGGTAGAAGCCCGTTAGCGCAAAGGGCTGGCTGGCCCCGGCGGCTGCGGGGAGGCCCTTGCGCGCAGGGCCGTCTGCGTCCAAACCCCGGGGAGTCGGCGCGACGCCCCGCGCGCTTCTGCAGCACCGCCGCCTCCGCCCCCGCCCCGCCCCCAGCTCTCGGGCTGTAAGGGGGGCCTTTCCCGGAACGCGTGACCATCCCCCAGAGCGAGCCGCTGGGGTCTGGAGTGGGGGCGGGGGCCGTACCTGCGGCGGCCATTTTGCAGGTGTGGTTGGCCACCCGCCCCGGCTGAGGCCGCGGGGCGCGGGGGTCGGGAGTGAGGCGGGGGCGGCGCTTGCAGCGTCAGCATTGTAGGGTGGAGGATGCTGCGGGCCGGGTCAGGTCTCAGGTCTGCACTCGACTGCGGTCAAGGCTCAGGAACCTTCTGGGGCTGACCGTTGCAAAGAGGCCACTGACTGGGAGCCGGAGATGGAGTGAACGGGGACAGTCCGTTTCCCAGGCTGTGAAGGCTGCTGAGGGGGCCGGGTCCCAGCCAAGGCGGGGTCTCGGAGTTCCTCAGGTGCTGGGCCTGGAGCTGAGGGGGGTGGAGAGCTGTCCGCGGGGTGTGGTCCACAGGGAGACAGAGCGTCCGGTGTGGAGTCAGGGTCCTGAGGAGGGCTCGCGGGTGCCCGCCACGGGCTCTGCCCCTCCTGCGTGTCCTCCCTTCCGCTCACCCCCGCTGGAGTGGCCCACAGACTTGCCCTCCTGCGTCCTCCCGCGGGCCGGCCACACACCGCCAGGCGGAGGCTGGTGCGCGGCCAAGCTGGGAATCACACCGGGCAGAGGGGCCCCAGCCACCAACCTTGGCCCCCTTCAGCCCCTGGGTGTCGCCGCTGCTGACCCAGGGCTGGCCGCATCCTTTGGAAGCAGAGCAGGGAAGTGGGCCCTGCGGAGCTGGGATGGGCTTGGGGGAGGGGCCAGGAATGGGGGACAGACCTGTGTGGGAGGTGGAGATGGGGGTGCCCAGCCTCAGGAGCAGGTCCCTTCAGCTCAAATAGGCCAGCTGAGGTGGGTGAGCAGGGCGCGGGTCCTGCTGTCAGGGGACCGGGAACCCCACCCTGGCCTTTAGGACTGACTGACCAGTCCTTCAGGCCTGAGAGCCTCCCCAGCCTGGAAGGGCCTGGGCCGCCTCTCCTGGGAAGGAGAGCGGCTGGCTGGGGTCTCCCCGGGGCCCAACCCCAGCTGCTCCCTAGAGGGCTCTCCACTCAGTGTTCTTAGCCCAAAGGCCCGGGCTCCCCACCCCCACCCGACGTGCCACCTACACCGTCTCCCCGACCGCAACCAGGTGCCGCTCCAGGAGCTCTGATGGCCATGCCCTCCTCCAAGCTCTCCGCGCGGCTGAGGTGCCCAGGGACATGGGCAGGCCGCTGGGCCTGTCCCCTTCGCTGATGGGGCCCTTCCCACCTGGCATCGTCCGCAGATGCAGCCCAGGATGGGGGGCGGCGAGATGGCAGATGGGGTGGCTGGCAGGCGCGTGCTTCCTGCCCCACCTGCTCTAGCAGGTTTGCGTTTTAACTCCGGAGCACCGCCAGGACCCTGGCTTCTGGTCCAGGGTTGACCCCAGGCTCCCCCAGCGCCCCCGGCCTAGAGCCTCAGGGCCTCGGTGAAGGGGTCGCCGAGTTGGAGACACTGGAGGGGGGAGGGCACACTCAAGGTCAGCGGTCAGCGGAGACTGAGCCTCCTGAGCCCTCTGCGTTTTCCCCAGCCCCCCTGCGGGCTTTGGCTCCCTGACCCACACCACCCGAGCTGGCTCCCCACCCTTGCCGGGCCCCCTGGCAGCCTCGTAGGTGCCACCGGACGGAGCGGGACACACCGTCCGCTCCTCTCTATCCCTGGGATTTACTCTCCTAATCCCGGCTCAGCTCTGGGCCGAGCCCCGCCCCGCCCCGCCGCCTCACGCCCCGCCCCGCCGCCTCACGCCCCGCCCCGCAGCCTCACGCCCCGCCCCGCCGCCTCACGCCCCGCCCCCGCCCCGCCTCACGCCCCGCCCCCACAGGGCGCCGGTGGGCGGGGCGGCACCCCTGCTGCTCCACGCCCGGCAGGGCTCCTGGGGGTTTGCGTCGGGGAGAGGGGCCGGGCGCCAGGCCGCGTCTTGTCACTCTTCACTCCGCTCCGCATCGCTGTTGGGCAGACTGGAGAGCTACCCGGAGACCCACTCACAGTCATTTTCACACGGTCACACACACACACTCTCTTCCACACATACACTCTCACACTCACATTCTCTCACACAAACACCCCCTCACACATATACTCAAACATACACACATAGTCTCACACTCACACACACACATACTTTCTTCCACACACCCACATCCTCTCTCACACAAACGCCCCCTCCCATATACACACCCCCTCACACACACACTCTCTTCCACACTCACATTCTCTCTCAGACATACACAGTCACATACACACACACTCCCCCACACATACATTCTGACAGAACCACCCCCTCATACGTACACATTCACACTCACACACACCCGCTCTCACACACTGACACACACACTTCACACATACACACTTGTGTGCCCACACACACACACACCCTCTTACACACACTCTGACACACACCCCACTCACACACATACTCTGGCACACACACTCCACACTCACACTCTCTCTCACACACTCATACATACAAACCCTCTCACACACACTCACACACACACACCCTCTCCCTCACACACACACTCACACGCATCCTCACACACACTCGCACACGCGCAGACTGTAGCCTGTACCCGGCTTGTGCCTCCCTGGTCCTCTTTTCTCCCAGGAGCCTCCACACCCACACCGGCTCCCCCCACTGCCCCGCTCCCGGGCTCCAGCCCCCTAAAGCCTGTGGTAAGCACCAGGAGGGCCACCCCAGCCCCTGTGAGTAGGTCACACGGACCAGGGAGGAGGATGTGAGCGCGGATGGGGCGCGGACTGCACTGTACACCCCCGCGTGCCCCCTCGTCCTGTGCTCCTAACGCCCAGACGGGCAGGCAGCGTGGCCCCCATTTTCCAGATCTGGAGGCTGAGGCTCCTGGGAAGGCCAGTGACCTGTCACAGAGGACCTGGGACCCCACTCCATCTGCCTCTGACTCCAAAGACGGGGCTCTTTTAGTGCCACCTGCCCCGAGCCAGCGTGGTGCCAGCACAGAGCCTCACCAGCAGCTGGGCCAGGTGCTGCAGCCAGAGGATCCATTTCCTGTGGGCCCGGGGCAGCAGCCACCGCTCTGTGGGTGGTGGGGGTGGTCTGTGTGTCTGTGTGCGTCCCCTTTGGGCTGGCCTGTGGTCCTGAGACGCTGCTCCAGGACGGGTGCGGCGGGGGGGGTGTGTGGAGCGTCGCCCAGGCCCAGCCCCCTGCAGTCCCCCCGCCCCACCCAGCCTTTGTCCTGTCCTGGGAGGGGGTGATGGTGCGCAGGGTGTCAAGAGTCCTGTGCCCCCCTCCAGTCCAGCCCTGCCAGTAACGCTCAGGGGGCCTCAGCTCCCTTCTCCATCTGTCATTAGCTCAAGCCAGGAGGGTGAGGGGCAGGGCTCGACCATTGAGGCCCAAGATCTGTGGGTCAGTGGGGGCCATGCTTCTGGGGGGCCGTTGGGCTGGAGCACGGGGTTTCTCAGCGGCTCATGTCACCGTCCTCACGTCCACCTGCTTCTGGGGCCAGGGCTGTACCCTGGCCAAGGCCCTGCTGCCCAGGAGGGCAGCAGCTCCAGGCTGAGCGGTGATGTGGGGCCAGGCCCACATCTGGGCAGAGCTCAGCTCTCCCTAGTTACTGAATGCATTTCCTTTGTCCTCTCCCTCCCCCAGCTTCTCAGTCACTCCCTCTCTTCTGCTGAGTGCCCTTTTTCCTGGCATCCTCACCCCGGAAACCGCCTCTTTCCTGCTGTTCTCTGCATCCCCTGGGCTGGAGTCTGTATTTGATGGGCCCCAGAGTGGCTGCTTTCTTGGCTTCCTGTATTGCTTTTGCTGGAGCACATCCTTGTGTGACTTCCTAAAAAGGGTGGTGAGTCCTTGGCTGCCTGAGAGCGTCTTCGCTCTGTCCTTACACTGGGTTGCTGCTCCGTCTGGGGCCCTTCTTGTCAGTAACTCATGCTTTGTCATTGTCACCTGCATCCAGTCACTCAAGAGAAGTCTTTGTCAGCAACTCGACTTCCCTCCCTGGATCTCTTCGCATCCTCTCTTCATCTGTGGATTCCTGACCAGCCACGTGGATGGGTTTGGTGTGGGTTTTTGTGTTTATTGGTGTTCAGTGGGGCCTTTCAGTGGAAGACAGGCTTTATTCTTCTGTCTGTTCACATTTCTCCCCTTTCATTTTTTCTGTTTTCTTCCTTGAATTCATGCATTGGTCTTCGGTGTTCTGGTCTTTTCTCTCATTCTCTCTCTGTGTTTTATGACCTATTTTCTGGACAGTTTTTGGACTTCATTTTGGAGTTCTCTGGGGGAATTTTGTGTTTCAGCATTTACAGTGTTTATCACTAACAGCACCATCTTCTCTCTGTGCTCCCATTTCATAGCATCCTATTCTTGTTTTGAAAATGCAGTGTCTTCTCAAAACATTATGAGTAAGTTTAGAGAGGTTTTTTGTTTGTTTAGTTGTTTTTTCTTTCTCACAGGGCCCATTTTCTGCTGGTTT